GGCATGTTGGCATATTCCTGTAACCCCAACACTCGGGTGTGAGGTGATGGTAGACAAATCTCTCTCTCCAAAATGTGTTGATCATTTTTAGAATAAAGTTTCCATTTATCAGCCTCTTCCCAGGTGTTTTGTTCTTCTCAGTAATGGCACTGTTTTCTTATACACTATTGATCCTAAATGTCTAGAAACATGATGGACTTCTAGGGAGTCCAGGCACGCCTTTAATCCCAGAACTTGAGAGGCAGAGGCAGGTGGATCTCTGTGAGTTCCAGGCCAGCCTGGTCTACAAAGTGAGTTCCAGGACAGCCAGGGCTACACAGAGAAACCCTGTCTCGAAAAACCAAAAGTAAAAATACAAAACGAAACAAATAAAAAAGCCATGATGGATCATTTTGTTTGTGGCTGGCCTGGACCTCTTGAGTGCTGAGAAAAAGGGCATGCACCACCATGGCAGTTGGACTTCTTTACAATTAATTAAAGATATTTCTTAGGGTTTCTTTTTATGTTTGGGCATGAATATATACATAGGAGTGCAATGCTCTCTGGTGTCAGAAGAGGGTGTTGGATTTCCCAGAGCTGGAGTTGCAGGTGTTTGTGAGCACTATAGTGTGGGTGCCTGGAACCAAACTTGGGTCCCTTGGAAAAGCAGCAGCATCTTAGCCACTGAGCCTCTTCCAAGCCCTAAAATAATAATTTAAAACCATTTATTATGTATACATGCTTATCATAGCATGCAGCAGCGGAGGACAACTTTCAGGAGCCAGTTTCCCCCATCTTCCATTTAAGTCTTGGGGACTGAACCTGAGTCATCAGGCTCCGTAGCAGGTGTCTTTATCTGCTGAACCACACCCCTGGCTCCACAGTTAATTTTTGTGTATTGATCTGTTCATACCTCCGTGCTTAATCGAGGGGACAGGTGCTTCTGAAGTCACTTAGGCTGGCTCATACATGACAGGGCAAGACTGGAGGTGGGAGCCAGCTGGAAGAGGGCGCTAATGCTGTGTGGGAGGGGGGAGCAGCCGGTGGGGAGAGGAGTGAGAAGGCTTGACCCATAGGGCCAGGATGGATGTGGAGCACGACAGTATCGAGAACAGGACAGGCTTTCCACTTAGGTCACACTGATCAGGGTTGGGGAGGGGTGTGGTACTTGGTTATGTGCCTTTGATGCACTTTTAAAAGAAGCACCAGGAAGTAGCGGGATAAGCCATCAGGAGCTCAGAGCAGCCGTAGGCTGAAACTAAACCAGTTATCAGGGAGCCTGAGGAGGATGGAGGAGCCTGCCCTGGGTGAAAGTTGGTGCAGAGCCAGAGGACCCAACACAAGGAAGGACACAGGAAGCTGGAACGGCAAGATGACTCAGACAGGAGCCTGACTTGCAGGTGGCAGAAGTCTAGAGGCAGGAGAATGTCTTATTGCACCCAAGCCACTCAGGTTAGAGAGACCATCCTATCAATAGGGCCTATTGCTGTTAAGGCGGAACTGAAACGATGCTCGTGCCACATGGACCACACAGGTCCTGGTGGCTCTCTCATTCTGTCTTGTGTCTCCCAACACTGCAAGTCAGATGTACCTGCTACTGCTCAGACTTGGCCGGGTGGGTGTTAGCACAGAAGGCAATGTTCAGCCCTCGCAGGCTGGAGCTGACTGAGGTAATCACTTCACGGTGTATGTACATCTAGAAAAGCTGAGGAGGCATGTTGTCAGTGTGCACCTCTATGCCTGGATAACGAGCACAGTCATTGCTTCTATGCAGGTCAGTCATGCCCTTGCAGTTCCTAAGTGGGTCACTTCTATTTTCCCAGATGCTGAGAAAATTTCTCTTGAGGCAGACAGGCCAGCACCAGGGGCCAGGGCTGAGTTCTCAAAGGCCAAGGGGCCTGCAATATCATGAGGTGCCCCTGGTGACACACAGCAGCATGCCTCCTTACAGGACACACCCAGTGTCTTGCTTGGGAGCCAGAGGAGCACACAGTTATTGTTCTGTCCACCTGACAGATTCCTGATGAAGGCCACCCAGAGGCAGCTGTGCCCACGAGGGAGGCAGGAGAGGGTGGAGAGGGCTCTCAGCCTGGCACATCTGAGCCAGACAGCTGCAGAAGCATAGCATCACAATGCTGCATTGCTTTGTCAATATGGGCAAATAGATGGCAGAAGGGCCAGCCCTCACATTACTTGGGCCAGTCAGCTCTTTGACTTCAGAACACTGCCTTTCAGACTGTCTTGTGGACAATACAATTATACCTCCTACCAAGGATGGCTGCCATCTGACTGGATTAGCCAAGGATAAGCCACAGTGTGACAAGTTTGTGTACTCGGGAAGAAACCAGGCACCATGGACAAGCACACTGAGCACTGGGATGGGTGTCCACAGTGGCTTTTGGATTTCCTCTTTGGGGCTGCTCTATGTCCCTTCCTGGGTCCTTGTGGAGGTTCCATTACCAGTCAGCATTCACTGTGAACTTAAAAAAAAGATAATACTATGAGGGTTTTTTGATCACATGTATGTTTGTGCACCACATGAGTGTCTGGTGCCTGAGGTCAGAAGAGGGCATCAGAGGCCCTGGAGCTGAAGTTATGGATGGCTGTAGGTTCTCTGTAAAAGCAGCAAGTGCTCCTAACCATGGAGCCATCTTTCCAGCACTCACTGTACACTTTTTTTAAAAAAAAATATTTATTATGTATATAGTGTTCTGTCTACATATTTGCCCGCACATCAGAAGAGAGCACCAGATCTTATTGTAGATGGTTGTGAGCCAATGTGTGGTTGCTGGGAATTGCACTCAGGGCCTCTAGAAGAGCAGCCAGTGCTTTTAACCACTGAGCCATCTCTCCAGCCCCACTGTACACTTTTAAAAAAGATTTATTTATGTATTATGTACAGTTTTGTGCGTGCATGTATCCCTGCAGGCCTGAAGAGGGCACCAGATCTCATTACAGATGGTTGTGAGTCACCACATGGTTGCTGGGAATTGAGCTCAGGACCTCTGGAGGAGCAGCCAGGGCCCTCAACCTCTGAGCCATCAATCCAGCCCCACTGTACAATCTTAGTGCCCAGGCTGAGGCCACTGCTGGAGCTCAGTGGGTACCAAACTTAGCAAATGGGGTTCTAGTGTTCAGTGTGTAGTAGGGTCAGGTGGGTCTCTTGGCCTTAGCAGGTGAACCCATGAGTTCAGACAACAGGCTTCTGCTTTCCCAGTGCCAAGCTGGGTCTCTGGTGTCAGAGTTCAGACAGCTCAGCAGCAGCATTTCTAGCTGGGTGCCCTAGGTAGCCCTGGGGAAAGAATGGGGAACAGCCAAGGGCCCCATTTAGGCTGGCTTCCTCCTTCTGCCTCTGCCCTGGCCAGCGTATGACACTTAGGTAGTCACACCTTGTTAGGTGGGCCTGCAGATATACGTTTTCACAAGCCATTGAGAGACCACCCCTGGATTAAAGGTCCTGATCAGAGCTGTTATCAAAATGCTAAGGACAGTCGCATCAACTCTGTCCAGCAGAGTTGGCTAGAAGGCAATCTCAGCCCTCTCCCCAAAAACCTTCAGAATCAGAAACTCTGGGCCTTGCAGGGCACCTGGAAGTGAGAATAGCTAGATTTGCTAATCTCCAGGGTTGCCTCTTTGCCATCCCTGCCTCAGCACTCTCTTTCTGGAGTCTTAAGACTGTCCCTGCAGCCTTTGCTGTTGATATAAACCCAAAATCATTGACAAGGGTTATAGCTGAGGCACTACTGCAGCAAACTCTTGGTCAATAAAATGCACCCTCAGGCTCTGCAGAACACAAGGCACATCTAACGTTACTACAGATGCACAGTAGAAACCAGAGCCCCCCCCACTCTGGCCTGGGACTGGACTCCATTCTCTTCTTCTACATAGATCTGGGCTTGGCTGCTGCCTGGGTGGCATGTGGCAGTGATACAGCTTTCTATGGATTCTGTGGAATAAGACCAGGCTTTGGGTGGACAAGTCACACAACGGGCAGGCTACCCAGGGGCCACTCACCCTGGAGCACCTCTGAGCAGGGAAAGAGCCTGTGGTGAGGCAGTGTGGGGTGGTGGTTGGCTCTGAAAAGCAGCATGGATGGGAATGGGATATGAACGTTCTACTCGGGGTGGGGGCCCCAGAATCACACTCTCACAACTTGGGACTGTACGCTGCTGCTTCTTCCTCTTCTCTGTATGTGATGTTTGTGTATTTGTGCCTGTGCACCCCACATCTTGACTCACCCTTTATCCCCTCCCCACCTTACTTTGAGGCAGTCTCTCACAGGACCCGGGACACACTGACCTGTTCCCCATGTGTGAGGTTTACAGGCAGGCACCACCACAGCTGGCTTTTCTGTGGGTGCTGAGGACCCAAACTCAGTCGTCATGCTTGCATGGCTGGCACTCTATCCACAGAGCCACTTTTCAGCTCAGAGTTATAGTAAATGAACTTTTCCTGTATGGAGAGTGTCTCCACTGAAAACACTCCTAGTGAAGCACTCTGTGCCAACCGGATGTCTGATTCCACAGGAGACGACGGGCAGAGCCACTGTATAATCAGGAAGCCTGTCTCAGTGTGGGCTTAGCTCCAAATCTCTGCTGTCACCTCCCCCTCGGTGGCAGCAGTGCTGGATCCTGACCTGGAGTCTCCCATGACTGCACCTCAGTGGTCAGCATTTGTACCGTAGACCTGGTGGTGGAATTTTGCCAGGTAGGTACAAGGTGGCCAGCCAATCAGTACAAATCACACAGAAGCAATTACAATAGTTCTTAACCTGGGGTCTAATGGCCCTTTCTCAGGGGTCACCTAAGGCCATCTGCATATCAGATATCTATATTATGACTCATAACAGCAGCAAAATCACAGTCATGAAGTAGCAACAAAAATAATGTTATGGTTGGGAGTCACTACAACATGGGGAACTGTATTAAAGGATCGCAGGCAGCATCAGAAGGTTGAGAACTGCTGGATTAATAACAAAAAAGGAAACAGGGAGCACCCAGGCTTCCTTGGGACCACAGACACAAGTTTCCAGCATGGAATCTTTATTAGACATGTTCGCTTTGCTTCCATACAGTGTCCAGCCCACCAATCCTGAACACATCCACACCCCATGCTTGTAAATATTCAATGGTTAATGCTAAAGTTACTAAGTGGCCCCCCAGCCCCTCCACCCCAACCTGAGTAGGGCACACAGGCCCATAAGACCTTCTGCAGGTGAAATCTCTGGGTTACTCAGTCTGACAATTTGGGTCATCTAGAAAAGCTGCCTAGGGATTGGGAAATTCCCTTGTGTGGACAGGCTTTCTGGCCCTCTGCAGAGGGAGACAGTGCTTAGATGCTAAGGCTGACCCTCCTGCACAGCCTCCACTGCAAATGGCCATCCTGTCTTGGGAGTGAAACTGTCTTTGTTCTTGATGGACACACCAGGAACTTGTGTGCCTTCCCCAGGGGCCTGTCTGCAATCTCCTTATCCTCAGAATCACACCAGAGCCTGACATAGCATGACCATGTCTGCTCCCATGCTTGTCTCATCCCCCAGTGCAGCCTCTTTATAGTGCTGGGAAGTGAGGAGGTGGTCCCCAGCCCAGGCAGAGGGCCACCTAAATGTAGGATGCCTTTAAAGCATGAAACAGACACACCTCTACAAGACACAAGGGGCCTGGGGGAATTGGGAGACTCCTTGGCCTATGACCTGTGATCACATTCTAGGTGGTACAGGTATGAGCAAGTCTCCTAGGAACGTATGTTATAGATTCTCACTAGGGCAGCCTTAGGAAAGCTGGAGTAAAGGGCAGATTGTTGAGAACACCGGCCTGTTTCAAATGAACACCGTTCTTATAGCCAAGAGATAGGAATAAAGTCCTCAGCGAATTTCCAAGAGGAAAGGCGGCGGCAGCGGGCGGGGTGGCACTGTGATGCGGTGATGTGTTGAGGTGCCGGCAGGCCAGACAAGCTGAGGTGGGTGGTGGAGTGTGGGAGCAGGGCTGGGGTGGGTGGGGAGCTGGGATCTTCCTGTGAGGATCAGCAACTTGGCAGAGGGAGGCTGGAATGCTCAGCTGTCCTTCTGGATATATGGAGCGGGGCCAGCAACCTCATAAGATGAATGCTTCCTCGAGGAACATACTTGGGAATATGGAGGTGGCCAGAGGCCACTGAAAATGAACACCAGAATCTTTGACACTTCCCCTTTTCAAAGACTGGCTTTAGACTCCACTCCAAGAGTCAGATAGATGCTGTGGTATGGGGAGACCACCATGTGGTACAAAAGCAGCAGTACATAGTGTTAGTTTGCATAGTTTGCACTCTGGAGAGAATGCTCCCTGGTTTAGAAAATACATCCTGCACCTACCACTGGCAGACAATGCTGCAGTGCACCAGGCCTGCAGCCAGGATGCCAGGGAGGGCTAAGGGAGTCTGTGGGGTGGTGATGGTGATAGGGAGTAAGGGAGAGGAGAGGAGGGAAGAGAAGAGGAGGGAGAGGAAGACGGAAGGACCAAGAGGAGCAGAAATCCCACAAGCACCTCAGGAGCTGTGCGGGCCTGGCTGCTGAGCAGGCGGAGGGTTGGAGAGTGGGGACACTTAGGTATTTATTGTGAAGTGGTTTTTGAAGGAAAACTCAACAGACACAGGCCTGGTGTGAGGGAGGATCTTTGACCCTGGAGTGAGCTGTTCCTCCAGAGAGAATGAACCCCAGTCAGGCTAAACATTAGCCAACACTCTGCTATTCAAATGTAAGAGGCTGCCTGAGTCCTCGACACTATTAAGAACCAGGATTTGGAGTTTGATACTTGCTCCTGATGTCCAAGGAGTAATTTTCTAGCAGTCTACACTTTATTAGATGTCACAGCCTGCAGCTTCCAGTCCACAGCACTGTCAAAGGAAGCATGGACACCTCACACAGGCAGAAGCAGAGGGGGACACAAGGCAGCGCAAGAGATAACACAGTGCAGTGCAAAGGGAACCCTGTTTTTGTCAGCCCCTCGTCCACAGGACTTCACCGTTCAAGCACGGCTGTGGAGAGCCAGGTGGGCTGGACTCAGGCTACAGAGGGCAGCTGTGAGCTGGGGCAGCTAGGCAGCCCTGCACTCCAATCAGCCTCTCCTACCCGAGGACACCACTGACTGCTGCCTCATGGCTCTCACACGATGGAGACGGCACATTTACAGTGCAGGATGAAGAGCTGCAAGGTCTCCTTCACAGTCTGGGTACACCAGGCCAGCCTTCCCAGCCCTGTGTTAGGCTTCTGACCCCATCACCCCTGACTTCCCACCTACAGCAGTTACAGGGCAAGACTTGGGAAAGGCACTGCCCTGGCCCACCTTCCTGCTTGTGCACCCATGCTCTGGAAGGACCAGGCTGTCCCCCTATAGCCACCCAGAGAGGCCTGTGGGCTAGGCTGTACACAGTTGCTTTCTTGTTCTCTGCCACTGAGCAAATGAGGCCCCTCCATAAAAACCCTGTCTGGGGGAGGCAGCCTCACCTCACACCTTCTGTGAGTCTAGCGCCTAGTCAACAATGTCTGCTGGCAGGGAAGCAGCCCCCCCCCCACACACACACACAGGCTGCCATCTGAGGGGCAGGCCTAGATGTCACCACAGGAACATATTTCTGCAGTGCTGCTGAGTGCTTATGTGCAGAAAACAAAGCATTAAAAATTATCCTTGTCTCTTCTCCAACTCCCTTCCTGTCACATACCTTAAACAAATAAATAAGAAAACAAAACAAAACAAAAAGGACAAAGAGGTCCCTAAATCAACTCCTTCAGGCCTGTCAACCTTTCTCTAGATAGAACAGCTGTGGTAGAGAGGGGCCTCCTCAGACCTGGATGGCAGAGACGGCTTCTCACTGGAGGCGATGATATGGAAAGCTGGGTTGGGGCACGGAGACAGACACAACTGTTTTCAGGACAGATTTGATTCTTCTGCACTGGGAGGTAGTAACTGTCACCCCAGGGAGCCCTTGTTCCTTGAAGTTGTGACTCACCTACAAGTCCTGTGCACTAAGCAGCTTTGAGGTGCTGAGCTGGTCACCTGTGCCCTTGGTCACATGCCTTCTAAGATCGTCTCTGCGGCAGCAAACTGTCTCATGCAGGCAGCCGCTGGTGTTCTTGCCCAAGCTCTGTCTCAGATCCTCCAGCATGAGAGGCTCAACTGTGCTCACTTCCTTCACGCATGCTTGAACTACGTAGTTCAGGCCCAGAAGTCCTGCCTGGTCGTGCCAGCTGTGGATCAAGCCTTTCCTAAGGATTTGCTTAGATGCGGCCCTTTCTGCCCCCAGCGGCTCCTTAAGGAACATACTCCTGTTGAGAAGACACAGGTGGAAGGAGAGGAAGCCAGGTGGCTGGCTGCTCTGGACAGGTGGGGGGTGGAGTCTGGAGAGCCAGCTGGAGAATACTTCTGGAGCTCCAGGGCTCCTCTCCCCTTCTGACAGGCCTGGAGACAGCTATTCTCCACCAGCAGGGCTGTGTGTGGTGCTGGCAGCGGCCTGGACAGCAACGCCAAGGGCCCTCTTGGCTGGTCTCCAGCACCACAGTTTTACATCACGATTAGAAGAGGGGACAACATTTAGAGTGGTGCTTGGGGCCAGTGGCCCAGTCAGATGCTTCATACCACCTAGGGTGACTATTTGGCTTTCTAAAACAATTCCATTCATTTCTGTTGCTGTTGTTTGCCAAAGGTGGACAATCTCTCTCTCTTCTTCATGTCCTTGGCAGACATCTGCCTACATCCCAAAGTTAACTTCTTTCCCCACCCTGGTACTAGGAATTGAACCCAGAGCCTCGTGAATGCTTGGCCAAGAGTGAGCCACATTCTCAGCCTCCAAAGCTCTGTGAGCAGCGGCAGCCTGCCCTTCCCACCACCACAGCCTTTCTGAGTGGCAGCCGCTGGGGTTCCCCTGCATGGACCCCAGACTCCCAATTAGGAAGGTATATCTTTTACCCATCCTCTATGCTCCTACCCTCCCTGAGGGACAGTCCTAGCCGCCTGTAACCCACCACAATCCAGATCCTCTAAGAGTACAAAAGTAGATGTCCACGGCCCTCAGCCGTGCCATGAGCGAGCGCTGGGGTGTCACTGTTGGGAGATGCCACAGTTCTGTCAGGAACACGCTTGCTCACTGATAGGGCTATGAATAAGTTAGTTTTCATTGACAGTGCATCCTCAGAGTGGGTTCTATCACGCAGTGCCTTCCCAGTCACCCTGGGGCTCCACAACACCATTGGTTACTTTCCTGACTTTCTTCATATTCTCCATCACTCCTGATGTTGTCACTCTGAAAAAGAAAAGAAGCCAAAATGTTGGGGGAATCCATAACCCTGCAGTAAAGCTTCTAGGCCAAGTGGAAACCTGGCCCCCTTCCACTAGTGTGTTAGGTGCTGTGTGGTGCTGGCCAGGCCACTTGCCCTTTCTGAGTGTAAGGATAAAGAAAATTCCTACTTTCCAGAACCACCATGAGGAAAAGATTCCCTGTGTCTCCAAGCAAGCTATCATCACTGCCAACATTAATTTTTCTCTCTTTCACCACAGTGGCCAGAGATTGTAGGCCATATTCATATATTTGTTATGGTTATGGGACATTCAGGAAAGGGAGCTAACTAGTGGGGTGGACACCTACAGCAGCTACACACAGTCATTCCCAAGGCACAGGACAGAACCACGGCTCAGTGCTCAAAACTCTGCCCTATGAACAGTTACCACTACTTCCTTGTTGTCTGTCTGGTGTTCCCCAGCCATGGCAAGAAGCCCCCAGCTTCTCTTCCATGCTGCTGCTGCTGCTGCTGCTGCCTGATTCAGCTCTTTTTGCAGCTACCCTGCCCCCACCCTCTGCCTGCCCCTCACCTAGCTGACCAGCTTCATCTTATCTTTCAACTCAGGCTTCCAAGCTCTGTGTCCTGAGAGCTCTGTGTCCATGAGACAGCTGCTAGTGCCCACCTGCACTGCTGGGCCTGCGCTGCTGCTTTCATCCCTCTAGGGGCTGTGGGCTTCCTCAGAGCAGCAACAGAGCCTATACTTGACAAGCACTCTAGGGTGATCCTGCAGCCCTAAGGATGTGTAGATAGGAGAGACGGCAAGGTGAGGACAACAGCCCTCATAGACTAGGGGCAGTGGTACCAAGCGGGACAGCTGAGGGACACACTGTTGGGTTCATGATATGGTCACTCACCCTCTGAGGACAGGGAAGGTGGCCTAGATAGCTCCCCAGTGCTGCTGCTGGGCCTGGGTATGGAGCAGAATAATGCCCTACAGCCTCTGGACAGGACAGAGTCATTTCAAGTGCAGCTCTGTTCCCATCCAACTCCCAGCATCCACCCAGCAGCCCACACCGTAGCTGCCACTCTCTTCTTATGGACCTAGGGAATTCTAGTGACAGGCTCTGGAGCCACCCAGGTCACAGGTGGGAAGTGAGGCCTCCTGGGGGGCCACAGCTCCTACACAGGTCTGAGCAGCATGTCCCAGAGGGTCAGCCAATAGTGTGCTGAGAACAGAACAGTGCTGGGGACCCTCACCAGCTGTACCTCTGTCCACATTCCTGACAGACCTCCATGTCTCCCCAAACCCAAAGGGCAGAATGACCACAGATCATCCATCACAGCAGGCTGCAAGCAGACAGCTTGGCTGAAGCTGCCCACAGACACATCTATTTCTGTGTCTAAGACACACTTGGGGGCTACACTGTGAGAGGCCTAGGTAAGAGGATCCGGGCATCTAATTCTCCGTGGAATGGGAGCTTGGGGAGACCTCAGGCCCTCTCCACTTCTCCTACACACCACCCAGGTCAGGAACAACCAGATAGTAAGGAGCAAGGCAGATACTACCAAGGTTAGTCAGTGAAATATTTGTAACCAAAATTGGCAGGCTCAAGAAGAGATGTAAAAGAAATGACAAGGGAAAGCAAGCCCCTGTAACTTCCTTCTCAGGCTGAACAGAAAAGCCACAGGCCTTATGGAGTGACAGCCATGCGGACTCCACAGGCAAACCTGGGCCAGCACAAGGATGGAAGCAGTTCTGTCCTACACAGAGAAAAACAAGACAAGGAAATAACCCAGGACATGGTCACACAAGTCAGGGAGGGGCACCTACTGTGAGGTTTGTTAGGAAGGCCATGGACTTGTTCTGAGGATGTGGAAAGGAGAGGAGAGAGCACAGGCCATAGTTCTTTCACATACTGGGGCACCATCCATGGCAGGGTCAGACCTAGTTGCTCTTACAGAAGACAAACACCAATTGTGGCTGATGCCTTACAGAGAGCTAAAGACCTTCTAGAACATTGAGGCCAGAGCTCTGCTTGCATCTGGCACGAGTTATTTATGGAAGACTTAAGAGGTGCCATCAAGAACACACTCCCAAGCAGGAGGGGGTAATACCCCAGGTGCTGTGCCATTCACCTGTCCTGAGAGATCACCACCAGCAACAGGTGGGGGACCCCCATGAGTCTGTTCCTCCTTCACAGATTCTCAGTCTCCAGAACTCTCTCCTTCCCAGCCCGCCTCTCTCCCTTCGTCCTTAGTGGTAGAGATGGGACCCAGAGGCTTGTGTACATTAGAGAAGGTCTCAGTGGTGAGCTCAGGCCCATCCTATGTCCAGGGGTCCCAGTCCAATGTCCTTACTGAGCTAAGGTACTCTGCCTCCAACAGCTCCTGAGTTTCCGCTTCCCCTCAGAGTCTGGACTGCACTGAGGCTCCTGGTGATGCCAGTGCCCTAAATAAACAAACCTGTGTGGCCACCACTGCAGCATTCCTGTCACTGTAATGATAAGCCTCCATGAAGTCCCAAAAAATACCCAGCATGACCTGAGCAACTGAGGTCACCTCGGGATTATCTCCATCTCCAGCATTCCCCCTGGGCTATGCCTTGCCAGACTGGAGTATGTGTTCTCTCTAGTTACAAAGCTTCCCCTCCCTTCCTTCTAAGAGCCAAACACACTCAGAACTGCTATCTGTAAAGTTTATCCCTCTCACAGACACCAAAGTAAAACTTTAAAACACTGCCATGAAGGTCAGGCATGGTTGCTCTCTCCTTTAATTCTAGCACTTGGGAGGCAGAGCCTCTGTGAACTTTGAGGCCAGCCTGGTTTACATAGTCATCCACAGATATACAGTGAGACCCTGTCTCAAAAAATAAAATAAAACATTGCCATGAGACACACACATCCTCTTTCCAAGGCCAATGGTCTAGAATAGAAACACAGGGAACATAACTCCCACAGGACCACTTCACAGTTCCACTCAGCAGAGGATGCTATGACCTAGTCATTCAGCCAAGTACCCACCACCTTGCAGGAGAGGGTTAAGAGGGCCACCAGCTGACTTATGTTTGTGCCTCTTTCAACAGCCACTTGCAAAGACAATGCTACCTCTGGACAAGTTACAGCTGGAGGCTCTCCTGCTTCTCCCACTGTGTGGAAAAGGAATTTCTGCATGGGGGATGAGATGTGGTCAGGGCCCAGGCCAGGATCCACTTTGCACTCACTGCCCTAGTGGAGCAGCCAACATGAAGAGCTGCCCTATGAGGCATGATGTGCCTGACAGCTCTGCCTGGGCTGTACCTCAGTCTTTGATCTGTGGAGAGGAAAAAGGCAAAGGACAGGGCAGTGGGAGTCTCAATCTGAGCTGACACACAGGTTATGGCCCATCTGGCATACAACTGCCTTTCCTGAAAATAAGGCCTGTAGTTCCTAAGTCTGTGACTCAGATGCAGGTCAGAGGTGCTACCTGCTGTCAACCTGTGGTGACTCAGAAAATGCCATTTTCAAACACTAATAGCAATGCTTGCAGCCTGACAACCCATTCTAAACTGGCCACTGGGAGCTGCTGCAGTGATGTTCAACAGTATGGCAAGTTCTAATTTTCCCTGACAAGACTGAACAATGGTTGGCAGATACTGCACTTCAAACTAGCTAAGCACACCAGGGGCTCCAGTGTCCATGTCCTTCTGCTAAAAATAGAGGCACCACCTCCAAGCTGCAGGATGATGAGACCAGGGGACCCACTGCACACCATGCCTTTCAGTTCAGAAGTGGGAGGGTGGGTGATGGGGCAGCTTACACAGACTCCATCTCCAGGTCATCTTCCTCCTGAGAGAGCTGCAGGTAGGGGTTATCTGAAGCTGGGCGGAATTTATACCCCGTCAGGACAAAGAACACCAGTGTGGCTGTTTCATCCAGCAGCTGCAAATTTAAAATCCACCCCAAAATAAAAGGATTAGCAACACTGCTCTTCAGAAAGCAATAGAACTAAACAAGCTGCAGCCTCCTTCAGTCCCCACATGCTTTACCAAGAGCAAGAGCCAACTGCTTGGAGCATGGCCAGAGTGAACGCTGAGGTGTTCCATGGGAACCCACTTTTTATTTTATGATGAGAGGTTACAGTGTGCCATTACACTGGTTCATCTTATACCTTCTCTATCCTACTTGTTCTTCCTTTTCTGTGTATGTGTATGTGTGAGAGAGTGCGTGAGTGTGTGCGTGTGCGTGTGCGCATGTGTCTGTGTGTGTGTGTGTACACCATGGAGTTGAGTGTGGAGGTGACAGGACAACTTACTTATGGGACTACAATCTCTCCTTCCATCATGTGGGTCCTAAGGATCAAACTCAGGCCATCAGTCTTAGCAGCAGACACCTTCACCATCTAAGTCACTTCCCAGCTCAAGAACAAGGGGCGTGAGGTGATGATTCTATTAAATTAATTCTTCTTTTAAAAAAAGAAAGACTTATTTTATTTAAGTATGTGTGTGGATGTCTACTTGTGTGTGTGACCATCCGCACAATGGCTGAGCAGGCCAGAAGAGGGTGTTAGCTCCCTTGGGGCTGGGTCTACAAACCATTGTGAGTTGCCCACCCCATGTAGCTGCTGGGCTGAACTTGGGTTCTCTGGAAGAGTAGCAAGTGCTCTTGACTTCTGACTCATCTTTGCATATATAGTACTTGATGACCCATGACCAGTTCTAGTATCTTACAAGATAGTTTATGATTATAATAAAATGATAGGTCCACCCCCCCCAAAAAAAAAACCCACCACCAACAAAAACCAAATCCCCAAACCAAGAAGTACTGAACTCAAAACTGCTCAAGTTCTGAGACTGAGGGCAAAGACGGATAAATTCTAATTAAACAGGGCAGATCTCACTCTCTGTGCTTGAGGTTTCTCTCTTCAAAGACTTAGAATTAATCAATAATGCAATTACATCCAGATTTCTTGTGTAACCCAGCAGTTCTTCTGGGCACACAGATCATTGCACTTGGAGAGCAGAGGAGATGGAAGGTCTTAGCAGTCATTCCCAGGTAAGTCAGACACAATCTGAAGCTATGCCCCAAACATGACCCCCAGGCATAAATTCCAGACTGCCCCCAAGAACAGCAGACCTGGTAGAGCCACTTCCACTGGAATGGAACAGCGAACTTGAGAAGAAAGGCGATGATCCTGGTGAAGTAAATGTAGCACACAATCTACAGAAAAAGGAAGTCAGAAATTAGATACCGCTTTCTGCCACTAACTGCAAAGCAGAAAATAGTTCCCCGAAGGAAAAGATGTGGTCTATTGCCCCGGTTACCAATTCCCAGGGAAAGTGGGGGGCTCTGCTCTACACGTCTCCCTCATGGTGGCTATGGCACTGAACAGACCCTGCCGGGGAGACTAGCCCCTTTAGCATGGCTGTTCTAACCCTTTCTCACAGCCCACATGTAGGCCCTTTGGTGTCAGTCTCCAAGGGCACTCTTTCCACTCCTTGGTGGCAGTTCCCAGCAGTTACAGCAAAATGGTCACATGGGGAACACACAGATGTAGTGAGCAGCTGAGGCCCATACTCCAGGACATACAGAACCATACACTCTAAGCTGCTAACACCTTCCTCTCCCTTCAATGAGGCCTCATTGAGCCGGCCATGAGACCACACTGAACACTAGACCAGGCTGGAGGTGGCTAGGTTTGAAGGCCAGGCCAGGTGGGTGTGATGTCTCCCTGGCCTTGTATCATCATAGCATCAGGAAATGCTCTGTGGTGACACCTGTTCTGACGATGACACACAATCCATGTAAACAAAACAGACACCAACACAGAAAGAGAGCAAGCAAGTACAAGAACACCAGCTGGATGGATGTCTGCCCTGCTTTTCTGCTGCCACCCCCAATGTTTGAACGTTTGCTAGGGCAGAGCTGTCAAGCGTCCCTGAGAGTCAAGAAAACACTGGGAGATTATACTCCATGTGTTCACACCACAGGGCTGCACTCACACAAAGCTTATGTTCATCACTGACTTGCTGGACGCAATGGTGCCCGCCTTTAATCCCAGCACTTGGGAGGCAGAAGCAATGGATAGAGGTTAGCTAGGGCTACACAGTGAGTGAAACCCTCTCTCAAACAAAAAACAAAACCCAAAATTCCCAAACAAAAGCAGCCTCAGTTTTCTGTTTTTAAGGGACGTATCACTGCAAAACAAGTAGCTCTTGCCTGGCAAATGGAGAGAGTGGTGAATACTCAGTAATTTTCTGTGGAGAGCTACAGAAAAGCACAAGAGTGCACCCAAATTTCTAAGAAGGGCAAGTTAGGGGATGGCTGGGTGTGGCCTAGGCCTAGAGATGCCCTTGGGGCAGTACACCGGACACTACACAAGGCCTAAGCCATTCTCTGCAGCTCTGGTTTCACGTCAAGTAGATGTGCTACTTTCTAAGTATTTAAAGACACTTCTAACACGAAGGCTTCAAAGCAGCAACCCAGTTTTCCATTTCCACTGTAAGAGAGGGGATGTGAGGTTGTGAGGCCACCGGTAGTTCCAGGTGCTGTCACCAGGCCTGTTCACTGATCTTATTACAGACTTAGTTGTGTTTCTACTCACCAAGACGTAGTAATGTCTGAAAAGCTTCAGCTTTGCTAAGTTAATGGCAGCTACAAAGAAAAGAATGAAAAGTACATTAACTTTCTTTTCATCCATTCACCGTCCGTCTATCCTGCCACCTACTCCCATTCATCCATATGGAGACAAAGTCTTGCTATGTGGGCCAGGATGCAATCAGGCAAAACCCCCCACCTCAGGCATAATCAGTTATGAAGCATAGGGCCTGAACTTCATCCATTTTAAAAACTGTATCCCTTCTATATGGGTGGAGTGCACACACACACACAAGAAATGGAGCAAGTTGAGTGCCTTCAAGATGCAATCAACCTCTCAACTGTTTGGGGCAACCCCTCACTTGCGAGATGGGCAGCTATGAGCACAAATTGATGCTATGGATGGGGTCTCAGTACAGACAAGGGCCAGGGCTAACCTCTCCAGCCCAGCACTGCTGCCCCTCTACCAGCATCAGCACGAGGCTGGCCTAAATGACCATCTGAGGGCCTCCCACAGGGTACAACTCTCAGGTACATTTGGGCAAATTTCACTTTAGTTTCTTTTACATGCTTCATAGTTAAGTCCTTTGAAATCAGGCTCCTTGGTTAAGCTCTACCTTCAAGAACATTCAAGGTCAGCCAAACCAGGACAACCAGCTTCCTGACACTGCCTATAGCAATGAAATATTGATGACCACAGAGAGTAGCCTAGCTCCCTCCCCGATTAGCAACCCTTTCATTCATCATAGCCTTCCTGCAGGAGGCAAATTAATTTTGCTTAATAGCATTCAATTACTGATTCAGTTTAAGAATGGGACTGTGGGTGGCAGACATTCAAATTTCCTCTTCCTCTCCCCTCTGGCTCATGATTAGTGGGGGGCAATGAAGCTTAGGATGCCCACAGAAATTCCAGGAACCCTAAGTCATCAAGGTGATTAGCAACTAAGAGTGCTGCCAGGTCTTCTGAGAGAATAAAGGCTGCCTTTCTGGAGAGTTCCAAAGTCTAAAGATAACATTGGCTTTTCATGTGTGCCTGTATGTGTGCAGTCATGCATGCATGTAGGAACAAGCATACACACCCAGCAAGCAAGGGAGGTGATAATTGGCAGATCACCCAACACTCTCATCTCAGAATCGTGGGGTTTTTGTTTTGTTTTGGGAGGTGATAATTGGCAGATCACCCAACACTCTCATCTCAGAATCGTGGGTTTTTTTTTTTGTTTTTGTTTTTTTAAACAAACTCTCTGGTTCTCACCCTTTGTTTATCCAGTCAATTCTAGGTGACCAAGTCCTGACTTGCACTAGGCACTGGGTACAAGCAGTGCTCTGGGAAGCTGCAGCCTCCTCCCTGTTGTCGGGGACACTTAGAGGCTGAGAGGGGTATCGCTGAGGACAGATGCTAAATTTGAGACATAGGTGAATCAAACGGTCCTAGGACTTGGGTTTCGCCCACATGCACAGCCTTGCATCTCCTGCTTCCATAACAGGGCCAGCTCCCACCACACTCTGCAGGAGAGCCAGCCAAAGCTTGAGGGTACTACAGCCTGTCATTCAGAGCAACCACTAACTGTCTCCTTTCCTAAGTAGCCATAAAGTGTTCCGTGCTCTCAATTTCTCTCAAAACTCTGCTGGCTAAGGGAGCCCTGCAAATGGACACTTTGCACCTGGAGAAAAGATTGCCTGGCAGGGGGTGTTCTGCTTTTCTTCAGAGTTCCAAGTGCTGAAACAAGGATGAGCTAACTGAGGGAGGATGGGACCAGGCTGTGAAGGGTGAGGCGGGGTTTTCCGGGGGCAGTGAATCAGGTAGGGATGGAACCAATGGGGTACCTCTGGGACAGTCTCATGGACAGGCAAGAGAGGGGCTCAGCATACTGGACCTTGGGGGAGCTGGCAACAGGGCTAGACAGAGTAAAGCAAGGTGAAGACACAAGACTGAACTTGTCCTTACTGGTTCTGAGGGCCTCAGGGAGTTTTAACAGAGAAAATCAATAGTAAGAGCCTAGCTGAGTTAATGCCCCCATAGACCTACAGTGACCCAGGTGAGGTTAGGGCATCGAGCAGCAGGCTTAGCCAGACACTCTGGCAGAGACAGGAAGGAGTCCTACAGGAACTATGAAGGAAATGAGGGGGGCACAAAGGGGTGTGAAGAGGGGGGACTGAGGCCCTGCAGATCTTAGGGCTAATTATGAAGAGTATGAGCAGAAAGTGACACGCTGGCATCTCCCTGGTACCACATGCCATGATGTCACACCTCCAGGCTACACAGATGCTTTCTGAAGGGGGGGGTAGTCTACAAACAGTTCTTTAACTGTGCCTGTGTGCCTCACACCCTCACATCAGAAGGGTTACTACAGAACAGCATTAGGTTACCCAGCATTCCCAGGGCTGACAAATAGGTCTTAGAAGAATATGAAGAGCTCTAGGCCATTTCCTAAATCAGTCATGATAACACCATGACATTAGTTAGCACTGCTGCTGACAGGGACCAGGCCCCTTAGCCTCTGGCTGGGTTTTCCTGCTCTGTTGGGGACAGACCCCAGAGCCTCAATCCTGTTAGTCAGCTCCTCTAGCCATCCCTGATGCACACTGTCCTGCAAGCTTCTAAGGGGAGGGGAAACAGGACAGCAGAGCACTCAACCATACAGGAGCAATGCAGCAGTACAGCTCCTCTAGCCATCCCTGATGCACACTGTCCTGCAAGCTTCTAAGGGGAAGGGAAACAGGACAGCAGAGCACTCAACCGTACAGGAGCAATGCAGCAGTACGCCTAAGGTTCAAACCTCAATTCTTCTGCCAATTCTACTCATGTGATACTAGGCAAGTCACCTGCCCTTTCTGTCTGAACTTTAATTTGTTCATCTATTAAGGCAGAAACAGTAACATCTACCCTTAGGGTTACTGGAGTAATCAGCTGGGCAATACAGGTAGTGAACAGCTCATCACCTGGATGCTGTTCCAAATTTATCATAATCTTCTCAGGACTACATGGGGTTAGCCTGCATCAAGGGTGGCCACTAGGACTGGCAGAAACCCAGACTCTAGTAATGCTGGAACACGATATGAACCTGGGACTGCAAGCATGCCCAGGTTCTCCTGGAAACAGTGCAACCTGCCATATGGAGTTGATGAGTCACGACACAGAGCAGAGGAGCAGCTGCAAGGTGAATCTTCCCTGCATCATGAGAAGAACAGCCAGCAGCAGGTCACAGCCTGGAACCCCAAGCTTCCCTTTCTTCTATTCCAAAGATTTCCTGGGAGTTTAGGAGGCTGATGGCTTGCTGCTCCCTGGACCAGAGAGAGCTGGGCTCTCATGGGAGTGAAAGCTTGTGGAGGCTTGGCTGGCTATTTCTGACTCTGCTACATTGGAGTAGCGAATATGGTCAAAGAATGAGTAGGCAAGAGGGAGCCAGGCGCCCTCAATTCCAGCCCCTCCTCCACTGTAAATCTACACGCCTGCCCCTGACCTGTGCATCCTCCTGGCTCTGTGCTCCTCATCTGGAGGGGAGCTTCTTCGGGGCAGAGGCCCCTGCTCAGGGAGCACCAGAACGGCCAGAGCTTCATTAACTGAAGCATTTTATTTGTTTTCAAGACAGGGCTTCTCTGTGTGGCTATGGCTGTCCTGGAACTCACTCTGTGGAACTCAGAAATCTGCCTACCTCTGCTGGGATCAAAGGCATGTGCTGTCACCACCACCACCTGGCATAAATTGAAGGGTTCTTATGGAATTTGGTCAAATCTCATCGTGGAGGTTGGAGTTCCTGCTGGGAGGGGAACAAGCAGCATGGCCAGAGCTCCAGGGCTCCCCCAGTGAGAGCACCTGCAGACTCTTCCTGCCAAAGGCCTATGCCTTCCCACCTCCAGGTCAGGAGTCAACTCACAGCCGCCACAGGAGGGGGGCACTGCTGACCTTCCCAGACTGCCACCCTCCCTCAAGTCATGGTGGCCAAGAAAACCACAGGGCAGGTGACAGCTACTTGGAGATGGTGGGCAAGAGACATTTTTCTTTCGGGATGCAGCTGGTGAGTTGCCCATGATCTTGGAAATCACCCCACACTAGGTTACCCAGGTAAGCCTAACTACACTCTGCTGGGGACTGGCCAGATGGCTCAGGAGATAAAGGAGGCCTGAATTTGATTCCCAGAACCCATGGAATAGATAAAAACAAACTATTATTACTCATAAGCAAACTTGTAACACTAAAAATTGTGGCTTGATGTTTGCCTGTAGAGGTTAGTGTTTATGTCTTGAGACTTCCCTAAGATTTAGTAAGAATTTTTCAGCTAAAAAAGAAAAACAAAAACAAAAAACCAGATACAAACAAATTCCTTAAAAAGTGTCCTCTTGACCCCCAATGGGAGCTCTATTCACACATTTCTGACTCTGCTACATTGGAGTAGCGAATATGGTCAAAGAATGAGTAGGCTCACACACATTCTCCCTGTCCCTGTATATTAATGTGCACATTGCACACACACAATACACAAAATAAAAATCAAGGAGCAGAAAGATGGCTCAGCAGGTAAAAGCGATTGCTGCCAAACCCAACATTCTGACGTCATCTCTGGGACCCACACACTGCAAGGAGTGGATAGATTCAAGAAAGTTGCCCTTTGACTTTCACAACGGCACCCTAATACATGCATGTATGAAGTCTCATGTATTCGCGCATACATGCACATGCGCACGCACGCACGCACACACACACACACACACACCCTAATACATGCATGTATGAAGTCTCATGTATTCGCGCATACATGCACACGCGCACGCACACGCACACACAGTGAAAAAAATTCAAAAATAAATAAAGGACAGGAAAGGAAGGCAATGTGTGGAGAGGAGTTCCAGCAGGGAGGCTAATGAAAGAAGATATGGGGCAGATGTAATCAAAACACACTGCAGATGTGTATGAAGTTGTCAATAAATTAAAAACCATTTCTAAAAGGAAGTTGGAAAGGGAGCTGTTATTAAGAGCATATGCTGCTCTTGCAGAGGACCCAAGTTTGGTTCCCAGCACCCACATGAGTTGGCTCACAACTGCCTGCAACTCCAGTTCCAGGGGACCTGAGCCCATCTTCTGGTCTCCTCAGGTTCTACATGCATGTGCATAACCAACCCTGTCCCTCCCCACCACAAGAATATACCAGAATTAATTTTTTTTCAGATCTTAAAACAAAACTCCCAAGAAGGCCAGAAACAGATCACACCTGCCCCCAACTGGCAGTTTTGAAACTACCCGGAAATGAGAAGCACTGCAACCATCATTGTCTGCTGAGTGATGTGAACATTGAGGGTGTCCCCACTATGTCATTTCTGCTTCTTCTCACAGGCGCCTTTGTATAGGAAGCCATGCTGTTAGAGATGTGCCTGGGTTGAAAGATCTGGCCTGGTGAAAGATGGGCAGGCTAAGCCTGTAAGTGGAGGCCTCAAGCCGAAGGCCACCTTCCTTAGGACTAGTTCTCTCTGTCTACACTCCACATGAAGAGACAGACCAGCTCCACTTCTGACCCGCTGCCTTCAGGATTCCTGCTGGTGACAGCCAGTGCCACGCTCAGTAACAGCTGATGACTTACAGGCAGACAGAAGCGAAGGCCCAGGACAGCTTCTTCGTCTTTGCCTCCGTGTGAAGAAAGCCCCAGAGTTAAGACACTGCTCCTTGCTCTGCTCCCCTTGCTCCTGCTCCTCGCCACTGTGCCTTGGAAGCAATTCTTAGTCAAACACAAAGGCTGAAGGAGTAGTTTTTGCCAGCTGCATGAATCGCTCAGATTCACTCTGATTCTAGCCTTCCCTCCCCCGCAGTCTGCTTAAGTTGCAGCTCAAGCTCACCCTTCAGAGAGCAGAGGAGCTCTGTGCACTCTCATACATTTATGGCCTTAAAGTGTTAGTGGGGGGTCCTACAGCCTCCATGAAGAAATCCCATGGACAAATCTCAGACAGTTTGGAGAAGCAAGCACAGGGAAAGGGCTATAATTGCCAATCAGGATGGTAAAATGAGCTATGTTACTCAGAGCACAGGATACTTTCCTCTTCAAGCCATAAAAAAAAACCCCCAAAAAAAAAAAAAAAAAAAAAAAAAAAAAAAAAGTCAAAGACCACAGGGCAGGGAAGTGCAATGCTCATTTCCTGCTCCTCCTTCCCTTCGACTCCAGACCCCAACATCAGCACTGCTCAAGGAGGGGTACAAAGGGCTGGTCCGGACTGGCTCAGTGCCTTCACCTCTCCAGCACATAGCGTGCAGCTGCAGAGAATGAGCTCATCAGATGGACACAGTAGAGACTGCAGCCAAACTTGAGCACACGTCACTCTCAGCTCTCCACCCCCAGCTCTCCACGGCGGTCACAACCAGCAGTGAGCTAGGATGAAGGTCACACTTCTGCCTGCTTGATAACACAAGCCACCAATGCAGGCAACAATCTCTGGGTAAGAGAGCCCGACCTTCCTGGACTACTGCAGTGATCAATCAGGAAGAGCAAGCTGCGGTCCCGAGACATGCCAGCAGCCCTGGGCAGAAGCAGGACATGAGGGGGCAGCCACCACAATGCGGGCACACTGAGCTCCTGACACTTAATGAAGCGGTGCATCCGCCATCAGCTGCTTCTCAGCCTGTGCTTGAGAAGCCCCTGGGCTCTGGGCTGTGTGTTACATGACCTCAGGATGACATTTCTTATTAAGTAAGGGATTAATTGTTTCACAGTGTTGGAAGATACTAGTTGATAACAATTCAGGAATTTTCTGAGGGGGGAAGAAACCAAGTTTTTGGTGTATAACATAGTAAATATCCCTGTTTTAAACTGGTGTTATGACATATTCTTTCAACTGCTCTCTGAGCTGTGCTTGAGATTTTTCTAGGGTCCTGACCCTTTGATAATGTGAGAAAGTCCCAGCTTCCCAGATACCCTCACACCTAAACAACTGTACCCACAGTATGTGGCACCCGCAGGAGCCCTGCAGGAAGCATTTGCAGACAACAGCTTGTGTGAGAGCAGGACAGAACCCTCTGAGGCTTTCATAGGCACCACTGTGTGCCACAAGAGAAACCAGCCCATTTTTGGTGCTCCCAGGACAGCACTGAGAGAGAACATGTCTGCAGGAGGCTCTGGGGAGAGCACCCTGGCAAACAGACCTCTGGCCAGAGTGTTCCAACGTCCTTAGCTACAGGGACAAAAGGAAGGCGACAACGTTCTTTTATCAAATCAAGGAATTCATTTCTTTACCTCCTCTGTTACAAAACTCTGCTCTAGGTGACAGGGTCAACAACAGTGTATGCAAAGGCACTGCAGGGCAGGGAATCACACAGCCAGGCTGCACCAGCTCCAAGGCTGTCCCCACAGCAGGGAGGGAGGCTCAGAAAGAAAGATAGCTGGGAGGTCCCACTTCTCTTGGCCTCTTCCTTGAGGGTTTCCAGCTGGAGGTTCTAGGCTTCCTCTGGCAAAAGCTCTCACTGCCCACAGCATCATGGCTCCTACTTGGGAAGTGAAAAACCAAGGCTGGACAAGCCTGTTGCAAAGAGACACTGAATCGAAAGGGCTGGGGAAGAATGTGCTTACAACCCCACTAAATCAGAACAAATCTGTTCCATGTTCAAGGGCATCTGGGTAAGCAGAAGTACACAGTCCCCACATGACAGGCAAGGTAGGACAGCAGAGCAGCCTAAAGCTTCAAGAGCACAGCTCTGGCCACCAAGATGGAGCTCAGTAAACACTTAAAACAGCCAAGGTTTATGCTCAAGTACAGGACAGACCAGCAGTCAGTACTCAAAATGAAGTTCATACTATGGTTTGAAGCATGACATCTCTTAAATGTCTACAGCTGGGGTCGGCCAACTGTCTATGCAGGGCAGGATAGCAGATGTTAGACTCTGTGGACCCCAAAATCTCTGTGACTACCCAACTCTGCCACTGCAGGGCAAAGCAAGCCACCAGTAGACAGTCATGGCTACAGTCAAATACAATTTTATTTATAAAAACATGGGGATACAGGTGAGTTGAAGTTGTCTAGTGTGCACAAAGCCCAGGGTTTGATCCGCAGCACCCATAAAAATGGGTGTGGTAGTATATATCTATAATCCCAGCACATGGGATGTGATAGAGGCAGAAGGATCAGAAGTTCAAGGTCAGCCTTGGCTACATAGTTGAGTCGAGGCTAGCCTTGGCTATAAGAGATCCTGTTTCTTTAAAAAAAAAAAAAGCTAAGAGAGCAGTTTGAGTGCTAGAGGAATCACTCAGCAATTAAGAGCACTTTGCTCTTGCAGAAGATTCAATTCCCAGAATCCACATTAGCTACACCTCCCTGTAACTTCAGCTCCAGGGGCATCTGTACTCATCAGACACCCACGAGCACATGCACATACACACAATCAAAAACAAACAAACAAACAAAATAAAAAAAAAAAAAGCTAAGAGAGCAGTTTGAGTGCTAGAGGAATCACTCAGCAATTAAGAGCACTTTGCTCTTGCAGAAGATTCAATTCCCAGAATCCACATTAGCTACACCTCCCTGTAACTTCAGCTCCAGGGGCATCTGTACTCATCAGACACCCATGAGCACATGCACATACACACAATCAAAAAAAAAACAAACAAAAACAAAACAAAACAAAACAAAAACAAAAACAAAACTGTGTCCCTGTGAAACTGAAAACACACTCCCTAGAAGAAGCAGGCATTCCTTGTGTAGACCCAGTCACCTTCGACCAGGCCCATCTCCATCTCTTGAGCATCACACCACGGACCAAGCTCCAGCATATGGATCCTTGGAGGACAGAGTCATATCTAAAACACATCATGATCCAGTGAAAACATGGGCAAATGACTTGAAATGACATTTTTCCAAAGAAGATATACTAATGGCCATTAATCTCCTGGAAATATGTATAGTATCACTAATCACTAGCAAAATACAAATCAAAAGTATACTGAAATATCACTTCACCCTCACTAGAAAGCTGTAGCTTTCTGTCTCATTGCTGCTACAAAGTAACTGCTCTATCACAGCATGGAAGGCCTGGTGGTAGTGTCACTGGCCACTGTGTCTGCAGTCAGGGAGCAGAGAGATGATGACTGGTTCAGCTTGCTGTCTTCTCCTTCTTATGAAACCTGGAACCCCAGTCCAGAGAGGGTAGTCCCCACATTTAGGTCTTCCCACCATAACTTCCTCTAGATAATCCCTCACAGACATGCCCTGAGATTTGTTTCCACGGTGATTCTAAAGGTCAAAAGGGTTAACCATCTGTTTCGGCAAAATTGACACCTGGAAGAAGAGTCTCAGTGAGTCTAGATTAGGTTGGCTCTCGGGAGACTATTTGACTGACAACTGATGTAAGAAGACCCTGCCCATTGTGGGAGGCACCATTCTCTATATAGGAGGTTCAGAACAGTATGAGAGAAGAAAGCTAGCAAAAACAAGCAAGTAAGCAAGCAGGGATCTGTGTGTTGATTCTCCTGCTCTTTATTGTGAATGTGTGAATGTGCTGTTTTAAATTCTTGCCTTGACAGTCCCCAATAATGGACTGTAGCCTGGAACTGGAAACCCAAATTCCTTTTCTACCCCAAAAGCTTTTTACCAGGACATTTCTTTACAGCAACAGAAATAAAACTAGAACAGATGGCAAACAGAGCAATATAAAACAAAAAATAGGCTGTGGATATAAACCCCCTGGGTGGGAGAGTGCTGAGCACTGAAAGCCTCAGTTCAATCCTTGACACACACCAAAAACCCTCAAAAATAACAAGTGTTGGTGATGATATGAAGAGTCAGGATCCAACAAGGACCCTTGCAAGAGTCAGTAATGGTGGACATTTTGGCAAACAGATGCAGGGGTACCTTAAGATTCAAAATACCACCTTTAAGCAGATAAAAACAACACAGTGGACCTAAGCAGGTTTATGTACACCCACGTTCACCATAACCAAAATGTGACAGCAACTCAAGTGACCCTCAACACACGGATTGTGAGTGAAGAGGTACATACAGACAGTGCAATGCTATTCAGCACTAAAAAGCCAGGAAACTCAGATGTGGACCAACTTTAGGACACTGTGCTAAGTGGAATAAGACAGACACAATAAGGCAAATAGTACAGATAGCACTAACATGAGGTCCCAGAGAACCAAGTTTATAAAGGCAGAAGGTATGTAGTGGTGGCGGTGGGCTCTGCAGAAGCCAGGGTTAAGGAATGGGAAGGGCACAGTTTCAGTTGGGAAGTCAGGAAACTGTCAATGGACAGTGCTGACAGTTGCAGGACCATGAAAACCTGTGAAACAGCACAGAACTGGACACTCAGAAACAGTTCAGGTTTAGTGCTGTATGTATATCTCCCCAAGCAGCAAAAACAAGGAGAACATGGATGCTATAAGGGGTGGCCCGTGGAGGCATGAACATGGCAAGAGTGGGAGGTCACGGACAGGCTGTGTAAATCTGGCAGTGACTGTTCCGGGGGTCAGCCCTGAGAGAGGCACATCTCCTCTGGGCTGGATATGACCATTGCAGTGACAGAGTAGTGATGATCCACGTGAGACCCTCAGGAAAGCAAGCCTACTGTTCTCCAGTGGAGGGCACCAGGCTTCTTCTCTCCCCAGGGTTCCAAATGCCCCTAAATAAGGAGTAAACGAGACTGGCAGGGACATCTTGGCGATCTTGTCATCTGCAAGCCACCCAAGCTCTTTCATGTAACTTCAATAAGGTTGCTGGTTCACCACACTGGACTGAACTGCTTCTCTGGTTTTCCTATGACCTCTCCATCTCAGATGAATAGATGTTTAAGTCTCACCAGGAAAGACCCAAGCAGGGAGTTTCACACTGTAATCATGCTGTTGTGTTCCTACTCAAATCCAGCACAGGGGGAAGAGTTGAACTCATCTCAGGGTTAGTGGACATGAGCCCCACAAATCACACAAAAAGCTTCACACAGCCAGATGTGCTACTCATACCTGTAATCCCAGCACTTGTGGGTAGAAGCATCATCATGAGTTCTGGACCACCCTGGGCTACAGAGTGAAATCTAAGTCAGCCTGGGCTAAGGCATAATCCTGACTCAAAAACAAACACCAGGACTGGGGATGACTCAGCAGGTAAAGCACTTGCTGAACAAGCAGGAAGCCTTGAGGTTAGAGTCCCCAGAACACACGAAGGCTGGATGCAGTTGCTGCCCATCTGCAATCCCAGAGTGCTGCTCCTGTCGCATGTGGAGACCCCTGGTCTTGGGCACATAGCACACAAGAGCTGAGCCCTGAGGGAACCCTATGGCCTCCACCTGCATGTCATGGTGTGTACAAGCACACAGAGAGTGGAATGAAAATCAAATAAATAACCTTATGTAGACACAGGAAGTCTGTGTCTTCCTAAATCTTCCAACAGATCTACTGCCCAGAAAAGGGCTGTGAAGCAGCTCCCAAAGGGACGAGAGAGTGAAAACAAGAATTAATGCATGGCAGTCACCTTACAGTGTGCACGGAAGGCTTCTCATGCACATGCCCAAATAAAACAGCTCCTTGCAGGAGGCAATGGGACCAGCAGACATATCTAATAAACACAAGTGTCCTGGGAGTGAAGAACATTCCTCATTGCTGTTAAGTTTCATGGGCCCCGATTTTGCCTTTTGAAGTCTTGCCCCTGTCTGCCTGCGATGTCACCTGTCAGGTGGGACACAGTGTAATGTCATGTATCAGGTGGAGCACACTGTTTCAGTGAATGACACTACTCTCTCAAACACTGAAGCTTTCTTAAGCAACTCCACACTGGTAGTGTTCCCTCTGCACACCCTGGAGAACTAGGAAACTCGTGCTCATGGCAGCTGTGAGCTTTCCTATGCTGTATTCTGTACTTAAAAGCACAACTTGTATTCTGGCAGTAAACACTGCCAGCTGTTTCCTCTATGACATGCTTACTTCCCTTGTTTCTGAGTGACACAAACGGCTGTCCTTTTTCAGACACGTGGCTTGTGACACCCCCGCCCCCAGTGCTACATGTACTTTCTTTCTATTCCTTCACACTGGATATACAAACAAGTCCTGGGCCTAAGACTTGACACAAGTACTTGCTATATCATCACAGACATTCTGAAACAAACCTGGGCCACCCCATAAGTAGGTGCCAGTGAAGAATTTGGTGGCTTGGCTGGAGAGATGACTTTAAAGTTAAGAGCACTCGCTGCTCTTGAAGAGGACCTGAGTTTGATTCTCGGAACCCATGTAGCAGCTCACAGTCTGGAACTCCAGTTCCAGGGGATCTGCTACCCTTTTCTGGCCCTCGAGGGCACCAGCCATGTGTATTGCATACATATACACACATACATGCAAAACACCCATGTACAGAAAATAAGACAGATAAAGAACTCAGTGGTAGCTGTGGTGTGGGGCTGCTGCCCTGATCCCACACAGGCATCACTATTTGACCTGGGAACACATCTGCACATCAGTAAGGTCCCCAGAGCAAAGAGCTATATATGGCGGTTTGAGTAAAAATGGCTCCCATAGGCTCATATAGAAGTGGTCTTGTTGGAGCTTTCAAAAGCCCATGCCAGGCCCAGGCTCTCTTTTACTCTCTGTCTGTGGATCAGGATGTAGTTCTCAGCTGTTTCTCCAGCACCATGTCTGCCACCATGCTATGATGATAATGACCTAAACCTCTGAGACTGTAAGCAAGCTCCCAGTTAAATGTTTTCCTTTATAAGAGTTGCTGTGGTCATGATGTCTCTTCACAGAACAGTGACTAAGACACTAGAATGTCAGGCCATGAAGCCAATGTGACCCAAAGAGCCCTGAGAGTGCCAAAATGATGTCCTATAGCCAAGGTTCCTTCCTGAACATGACAACTGCTCAGAACGAGGCCATATCTCCCCCAGCCTGCAGTCATCCAATCACAACACGTTTCTGAAGTGATTGTAAAATGAAAGCTCTGCCTCTGCCTTTCCCTCAGGAACAGAACGCAAAAAACCAGGTGACTAGAAGTAGGGCCCATCAATCAAATATGCAGTATATTACCAAGCCACTCCTGTCAAGTAATGACGTCAGAGAGAGAACTGGAGAGAGAAGGAATCTGGCAGCAAGCAGATCTTAGCAGGAAGCTAGAGTACAGGCAACCACCATGCCCCTCAAAGGCTGTAGATTCCAAGACAGATGACCTGAGAGAACTCTCAGTGTGTGGAGGAAAAGAAAAAGGCAGGGCTCGGGCAGCTTCTCTTTAATGATTTCCTCTGTTCTTCCTCAGGTTCAGTCAGAGAATCCAGAGACAAAGGGGTACATAGGAGCCCAACACACACTCCTTGAAACCAAACCAACAGTGTTTTCTTGCTTGCTCAGCCTGCACTGCACCTACACATGCCCAAGTCACTGTTGAGATCAGGTGACAGATCAATGGGTGATGAGCCGAGAAGAGGCAGTGGAATGCTGGGCTCCATCTGACCATGTGCCTCCAGATCCCAGAGCAGACCTTCCCACAGAGGGTTACCAAAGGTCTGGAGGACCTAGTGCCACCCCTTAGCCAAGGCCATACTGTGGTGACACTGACCCTGGCCTGCCAGCAGACTACAGGTCCTATGCTTCCCTGTGGGGGCTTCCACTGAGGGAACATGGCCTCCTTGGCTCTGGAAGTTGTTTTTCAAAGAACAAAGTGAAGTGCACACTTATGGATCGGCTCAAAAACATCCTACAGAGAAGACTTCTCCATCTCTTGCCCTTCTTTAGGGGCTCTGTACTTCCTCATAGATGGGATGCAGGGCTACTTATAAAAGTGTAGACGTCTCATACCGCCATCTGGTGGTAGACATAGGAAAGACCTCATGTGTCCTTGGTCTAGATCAAAGGTTCTCAACCTGGGAGCTGTGATCCCTTCATAAGGGTTGCCTAAAACTATCTGCATATCAGATATTTATGATTCCTAACAGTAGAAAAATTACATTTATGAAGTAACAATGAAAATAATGTTATGGTTGGGGTCACCACAACATGAGGAATTGTATTAAGGAGTCTCAGTATTAGGAAGGTTGAGAACCTACTGTAGGCCAAGCCCTTTCTTGTCATCCTCTGCTAAGATCTGTGTAGGACCTTAACACAAGATGGAGGACACCAAGAGAGGCTAGAAGGATAAGCAGCAGAAGGAAGATAGTGGATTTTGCCGGGCGTTGGTGGTGCACACCTTTAATCCCAGCACTCAGGAGGCAGAGGCAGGCGGATCTCTGAGTTCAAGGCCAGCCTGGTCTCCAGAGTGAGTGCCAGGATAGGCTCCAAAGCTACACAGAGAAACCCTGTCTCGAAAAACCAAAAAAAAAAAAAAAAAAAGATAGTGGATCTTAATTTAGAGACACCAAAACATACAAGGAAAGAAGCTCAATGAGACAGGATAGCCAGCCCTACCCAGCGTGACCTGTCACAAACACAAACACAAACAAAAACAGAAAAAAAAGACATGGGGAGCTGGAGTGATGATGGCTTAGCAGTTATGAGCACTGGCTGCTCATCTCAGGTTCAATTCCCAGTACCACGTGGGCCTATCTGCAGGCAGAACAACACACATAAATAAATTTTAAAAACACAAAATGTCCCATCTCAATACATCGAGGAAAGCCTCTAGGTATTAAGTTATAAAAGCAGTAAGTCACCTTTTAGAATAATATACACAAAACAACAAAAACAACCAGCTCAGAACATCCCTAACAGTGCCAGGCAGGCCTTTCTCCAGGGCAGGTACTTCCTTAGAGTCCCACCTCTACACTGCTCATTCCCTGTGCTCCCTTCTGCTCACTGCAGGAGGCAGGGGGGCTCTGCCCCTGTCTGGGAAGTCACTCCCCAAAATGTCAAAGGCCTTCAGAAGGAAAGAAAACACATGATAGAGAGGCTGTACCTCAGCACTGCAGAGAACAAAGCAAGCATTAGGCACCTGCGGAGGCCACTGGGCCCTAACTGGACTCTGATCAGGGTAGTGTCTTCTATACAGGGCTGCCCAGAGCTGCAGGATCCTGGACAGCTGGATGGGCTAGTCTGGGTCCAAGCTGAACAGAACATAAATAACCCAGTGAGCACACTCAGGTCTTAAAGTGAAGTGAAACCCCAAAGCCAGAAGTCATGCAATTCAATATTTTAACACTTGGACGTGGGGGGGTGTGTGTGTGCAGCTCAGTGACAAAGCACATGTCTTGTTTCAATCTCAACACCAAAACCACAGAATGGGACTAGAGAGATAGTTCAGCAGTTAAGAGCACTAACTGCTCTTCCAAAGGACCCAGGTTCAATTCCCAGAATCCACATGGCAGCTCACAACTGTCTATAACTATAGTTCCAGGGAATCTGGCACCCTCACTCAGACATACATGTAGGCAAAATCCCAATTTACATACAAAGATAAATAAGTCTTTAAAAACAATAAAAAAATAGCCCCCCAAAGTAAAATATCTTGATATAAATGATCAAGCCTATGGAATGATTTGCAGCTAGTATATTATTTTCCACAAATTCTAAAATGAATCCATAATTTTTTAACAAAAACAAAACAAAATGCTCCGTGATGAAACCCTGGAATGCAGTCAGGTGAGCAATTTCATATGCTCTAAGAGCACTGTTCCTCCGCCTGGTAGGCCAGTCCACAAACTGGGCAGACCAGACACACCGCTCACTCTCTGCAACATAGATGGAAAAGCAAAACTGCCTGGAGTTGTAATAGTACAGGGCTGGGACACCAGGCAATACTTAGAAAGACTTTTTGGCCCCTCCAGACTCCCAGAGTGCTGCAGCAATGAGAAGGACGCCACTGCCATCAGTGATGGAAGCACTGCCATCACTATCTGTTGAGCAGTGCTCTTTGACCCAGACCCAAGTATTCCCTCATGAGACAAGATTTTCTATTGGATTTGGGTTTGAAAAGTCAAGATCTTGGACCAGGTGGTGGTAGCGCACACCTTATTCCCAGTACTCAGGAGGCAGAGGCAGGCAGATCTCTGAGTTCAAGGCCAGCCTGGTCTACAGAGTGAGTTCCAAGACAGCCAGGGTTACACAGAGAAACCCTGTCTTGGAAAACAAAACAAAAAATTATAAAAACTGGTAAATACCACAATCACAATGGACAGCAAAGGTGACACAGGGCTGCTGACCCAGGCCTCCCTGTGCAATTGTCTCTATCTCTGTAACCTGCTTCCCCACCAAACCATCCCTGATGCCCCTAAGGAGTGAGTCCCTAAGCCCCACCTATTCTGTCCCCCAGAATCTGGTGCTGGGGAGCCAGAATCTACCCCAGTTCTTAGCAGGACAAATGCCAGTGCAGTGGGAGGGACACAAAGGAGCACAAGGGAACTTGCCTTTTCCATCTGTGGCTGAGGCTTCTTGTAAATGTCTGATTGACCTAAAAATAACCATTTGGAGAACAGAGGTTAGTAGAGGAGCCTGCATTCTCTTCTATTTCTGGCTCTAGTAGCTTGGGACTTGAACCCCATTGTAAACCGAAAGGGTCGGACCAGATGACTGTACAGCACCCTCCCTAAAACAAGAGGTCTCTGCCAGTCCACACTTGGCCATTTATGGTGCTCAAACTGAGGTGAAGATGCCCTCTGCTGGCAGAATCAGGGCCAGCAGGAGGGGCAGTAGAAACACCATCATTTAACTCCACAGCCCGGCCACGGGGGAATGACCCAAGAGAAATCGGCTGCTGACTCCTAAATTGAGGTCTAGCAGCTGTGCAAGTCTAGGGCTTTATGTAAACTCACTGCACTTGGTAAGATTTATAGCTCTGGGAAAGGCCAGTCTCTGGCAGCCTTTTTCTGGCTGTGCTGCAATGATAACTAATCACCATACTATGCTCTAGGCAGGGGACATTAACATTATTAGCGATGCCATGAAGTCAGGCACTGTGATGCACACCTGCAATCCCATCATTTGGGAGGCTGACACAGGAGCCCTGCTGACAGTTCAAGACCACTGTGACTGAACTACAGGCTAGCCAGAGCTACACGGTGAAAGAACAAGATATAAAATAAGAAAGGCTTGGAGCTGCAGGCACAGCTCACAGCCATAGCGGAAGGCCTGCATTGAGCAGACAGACAAGGAAGTACAAGGGGAGTGGGCCAGGGATCTGAAGGCAGGGTTCTAATGTTGACCCTCTTATCTATGGATAAATCACTTCTAACCTCAGTAAAGTACCCCCAACTTCATGAGAAAGAGAACACATGAATGCTACCAGTATAAAGGCAGTTTATGCCACTGCTGAACCAAGGCTGGCTGAATCAAGCATTTCAGAAATTTATAGTGCTACTTATTTGTAATTAAGTATTTGTCTGGGGTCAGGGACAGGCTTGCTCTCTCTTGGTTCCAGTTGGGTCACAGAGAGCAGTAGGGCGCTGATCCTGGGTTATTGGTTTCTCTTGTAAGCGATTTCTCCCCGAATAAAATTAACCTTTATCATCCTAGTCCTGTGAATCTTAATTTGAACAACCACAGACCACTGGTGGCCTGGTGACTCTATGCTTGCTGTGGTTTGAATGAGAATGCTTTCCCCATCCACCCTACCCCATAGACTCATACACTTGACTACCTCCTCCCCAGTTGGGAAGGATAGGAGGTGTAGTCTTGTTGGAGGGGGTGTGTCACTGGAGGTAGGCTTTTGAGGCTGGGTTAGCACTTTCTGCTTCCTACTTACAGATGAAGATGTGAGGTCTCAACTACAACTCCTATGCCATGCCTGCCTGCCTGATGCTTATGGATTCTAACACTATGAAACCATAAGCCCCAAATACATTCTCTCTTCTCTTAAGTTACCTTAGTCATGGTATCTCATCATAGTAACAGAAAAGTAACTAAGGCAATGCTCATCTGGGACCTTTGTCCTTCAGGGTCCCAAAGACAGACATGAAGAATAGGACCTGACTCCTGCTTCTCAGCAAGGTCCACTACCTGAGGGTAGCACTGCCCATCCTGATGGTAATGGGGCAGGATGGCAGGGTAGCTGAGGAGACTGCATGGTAATGGTCTCACCCCCATTTCTTTCTTTGAGACAACATCTCATACAGCCCAGGCTGCCCTGAAACTTGTTAATATAGCAGAGAATGACCCTTTTGCCTCTACTGCCTCCATGCTGAGATTCCAGATGCACCACACTGCCATGTTATGTGGTGCTCGTGAAGAAACTTATGGCTTCAAGTATGCCAGGCAAGCACTGAGCCACATCCCAGCCCTCCTAGTTCCCCTCTATACCGGCAGCAGCTGTTTGACATGTGAATGCTTGTGATATACAAAGACCAGGGGGAAGGTGATTCTAACTAGAACCATGCTCTTAATAATCAAAGTGGCTGGACAGTACATCCGACAGACAACCTTAGGGTTCTGGAAAGCACTGACTTACAGCAATGAGTGCTGCCAGAGAACGCACCTCACTCCTCAACATGAACTATGTTGGAGAAGCCATGAACCAAACACTAAGGATGAGTGGGGAGCTGTGTTGTCATCAGCTTGTTCTTTCCACCTGACTGCACTAACATAGCAACCTGCGCCTCTCTGCCAGGATTTCACAAAGACTCCCTTCCTCACAGAGCACAGCAATGACACCTCTTTTCACACAACTGAAGTACAAGCCTGAAGCCTGCCATTTCGGGATCAGAGCAAGCCACTCTTCAGAGCTCCCAAACCAGGGTGGCCTGAGTTTGTTTGTTTATTTATTTATTTATTTACTTACTTACTTACTTATTTTAGAGACAGGTTTGTGGCTTTGGAGGCTGTCCTGGAACTAGCTCTTGTAGACCAGGCTGGTCTCAAACTCACAGAGATTCACCTGCTTCTGCCTCCCGAGTGCTGGGCTACCACTAGTATTATGTCAAAGTATAACCTCATTTTTCATCTAAACTGGCAAGAAAAATGATTCTCCTACTTAGCCCTTACCAAATTCGAGCTGACATTTTACACTGCCTCCCTTCTCGACTGGGTTAGAACTGGGCCCTGTAGCCCGTGATCCAGACCAGTTCTCTTGGAGTCCCCTGTGTACTCTCAGTAAGTAAGGCCTGGGGTACTATGAAGTCCCAGAATCCCACCTCTAGCTGTTATTTGGGGCAGCCTGGGGTCCTTTTCAGACAGCCCACGTGACTCTGGCTGCAGGCGAGCTGCCCTCCTAGGGTTACTTACCACACCACTGGGAAGAGGATGGCACCACAGCACAGCAAGTCAACCAGGAACAGAGAGTCCTTCCACAAGCTATACTCTGTCGTGCCCTCCTCGGTGGACTCTATGATGATGTAGGCCACATTTGCCAGCACCTACAGAACACGAGACCCCAAGGCATTTAGTGCTGTTATAACAGTGGCCCAAGTGAGACACTCACCCATGCTGTCAGCCTCAGCCAGTGGCTGCAGTGACATTGCCATCCAGAAGCCCAAACCTTCTCATACAGTATTCTGACTCCCTTAAACTGTCATGGTAGAAAAACTGTGAAGAGATACCCAAGGACCCTCAATGTTTCTCTCTGTCCCATCAAGTCTTCCTAGCCCAGGAAACAGATTCAGGGAACCCTCCTTTCCCCCAGACTGCAGCCATATCAGCCTGCAACCAGGCCTCAGGTTAGGCTTACCAAATTAAGATGTCCCCAAATCCCTGGCCCATAGAAATGGAGATTTACTACTTGGCGTTGCCTCAGATCATTTAAGTCTGGGGTGGTACATAGCAGCGGGTAATGGAAACACTTTGTTTTGGGGCACTCAAAGCCTCAGAAAGTCCCAAAATCTCCTGGGCAGGTGGCACTTCCCATCGTCCCACATAGTCAGGATGCCAACACTCCTCAGGCCCAGCTCTTCCTGAGAACTCTTGATCCTCATGGACAACAATTCTCTTTTTTTTTTTTTTAAGAAAGGATATATATATATATTATATATATATATATTAGATTTATTTATTATGTATACAGTGTTCTGTCTGCAGGCCAGCAGAGGGCACCAGATCTCATTACGGATGGTTGTGAGCCATCATGTGGTTGCTGGGGATTGAACTCAAGACCTCTGGAAGAGCAGCCAGTGCTTTTAACCTCTGAGCCATCTCTCCAGCCCAGGGACAACAATTGTAAGTGGCTGATACAGAGACCAGAGGTCGGATCAGCAAGATGTGCAGATTCCAGTGACTGTTCCGCTCCTCACAGGGGCTAGTCAGTCCAGGACCCCTACACTGCACACTGCACACATCTGCCTCCATGTCTTGCTTTTATTTCCACAATCAGGGCTTTGCCTTGATTTTAACCCTGCCCCTGGGCTTAACTGAGACCCCACTGTGTATCAGGGAAGTTTCTGGTGTATGACACTTTCTTTAGCAAGTACATGAACTATGATGCAAAGATAAACATGAGGCATGTTGAGGCTGGAGAAATAGCACAGCAGTTAAGAGTACTTGCCGGGCAACGAGGAGGATCAGAGGCTGGATCCCAGCATCCATTTATCAAGTCGGGGTCCTGAACAATTATATATATAACCCCAGCTCAGAGTGGGGTAGAGATAGGATGATTGTTGGACTTACTGGCTTCTAGTCTAGTCTAGTCTACAAATGCAAACCAAAATGCACACACTGTTCCCAGAGGCAATGCTGAGCCACGCCCTACAGTGCTCTTGAACACCATGTAACTCATTCCTGCTTTCAGGTAAGAGTTTAGGGTGGGGCAAGCACAGTGCTTGCCTTGCCTATTCAAGGTTCTGCGTTCCATGTCAAGCACTACAAGAAAAAAAAAAAAGAAAAAAAAAAAAAAAAAGGAAAACTTTCTGGTACTCCCCATGACAAAAGGAAGCTGCTTAGACTTTGGTCAAGACTTTCCCAGACCAGACCCCATTGTCTAAACACTAACTTCCTTAGTTTTCTTGGGTGACATTTAACATGGATGGCCTTGTGTGTTCACCTTTGAGGAGTCAGCAGGATAGAGCTTCTTTATCATACCCCAGCTCAGGCCAGGGGAGGAGTCAACAGACAGGACAGCCTGAATCTGCCAGAAGGACATGAAGGACAATTCCCAAAGGGCAAGGAGAACTCAGGTTCTGTCAGGTACACACTCATAAAACCATGGCAGGATATGTATGGGACTCCATCTGCCTAGAGCTGGCCCTGGTGATTTGGTCACCAGAAGACCTTAGCTTGTCTGGTTCGCCTGACAAGTGTCACAGGTATCTGTAGCTACTCCTTTGCCTATCACATTCCTTTTCTTAAACATCCACGTTCTTTCTCCATTGCAAAGCCCTTCTAGATCATTCTGAAATGATCTAGATCATTACTTTCTCCCTGAAAACCTACAGCAACTGGTTTGTGTCACAGTTCAGGTGCTAACCCACCTCCCTCCCTGCTGAACAGCCAATCAATACCTAAACAGCCAATCAATACCCAGAGATGATACAGCCCAGGAAATTTCCCCTTTCTTCCTCTCCTGCCAGCCACACCCAAGCTATGGTCTTAAAGGAGCTGACCTCACCAAAGGCATGGCCGTGGCTAGGCAGCTGGGAAGAGGTACCTAGCTGTGGTGTCCTCGGCTTATCTCTGTTTCCTTCCATAGATTGCTGGTGTAAGACAAACCATGGGTCCTCCCTGAGGAGCTATGCACTTGTTAGTCAGGTCTCAGACCACAGCCTCCAAACACAGGATGAGTTTTAAAATGTTAGCCCTATGGGGCCACTCTTCTATTCCACTTTGCAGGAAAACTCACTGAAGCTAATCAGTCCTAAAATTCTGCAGGGCACCTGGGCCTACTCATGAACAGAACCATTTTGCTAGAGGCAGCTGAAGCAGAAGGCACAACAGCATTTGTCCCTCACTGTTCTGCAGCCCTAACCACAATCTAGGATGACCTGTCTGAAGGCAAGTGGCTCCAGGACTTCCAGCACACACCCGAAGTCTAGATCTGTCAGCACTCAAAAAGGGAGCCCCTATCTGCAGCTCACGATATAGAAGCTCAGGTTTACAAGTGAGCTGACTCCCTGCAGACAGGCCTGGAACTGAGCCTGCCCAGAGCTAGGGAGGACTGACAAGCCAGCCAGTTCCAGTACCTGGAGTGGGATGACAATCATGAAGATCTTCTTGTCTTTATCAGACAAGATGTGCTTGATGAAAGCCCAGCCAGTGCCAATGAGAGCGATGGTGATGAACAGCAGCGCCCCCTTTAGACTGGAAGACAGAACATTTCATAGCTACCACAAGGCTCTGCAGACTCTAGTCCCATCAGTCACCCTATCAACTCATTCCATGATCCCACACCCCCACCCCACTTCTTCTTCCTTCTTTAAGATTTATTTATTTATGTATATGAGTGCTATGTATGTATGTATGTATGTATGTATGTATGTATGTATGTATGTATGCCTGGACAACAGAAGAGGGCACTGGATCACAGATCACAGGATAGATGGTTATAAGTAACCATGTGGGTATGGGAAACTGACTCAGGACCTTTGCAAGAGCAGCCAGAGCTCTTAACCACTGAGCCATCTCTCCATCCTCCCATTTCTTTTTCTTCTTTTTTTTCACATAACCCAAGCTAACTCAAAATTTAATTTAAAATGCAGTCAAAGATGATCTTGAACTTCAAATCCTCTTGCCTCTGTCTCCACCTCCTGAGCGCTAGGATCATGGGTGTGTACTAGTATGCCTGGTTTTTGCTGGGGATGGAGTCCAGGGAGTCATGCATGCTTGGTAAGCACTCTACCAACTGAGCCACATCCCCAACTCTAGCCCGTAAGTATCTCTGTAAGGCATTTTATGATGCAGGCACTACCACACTGTCTCTTAGACCGGCATACTTACAGGTGAGTTATGTAGTACACAACAGCCCAGCCTTCGATTGGAAAGCCCTGCGAGGAGATATAGTGGTAGTCGATCTGAAATCAAACAGCTGTGATTCAGAAAGGTCATGCCACATCCCAGTGCAGGGTGAAGCAATAAATGACTCCAGGAGACCCCGCGATGGGGAATGGGTTCTGCCCAGCCACCCCACTGTCTGATACCTCCATTGCCAACTGACCAGCAAGTACACAAGTGTGCTAATACACTTAACTGAGACAGGTTGACAGAGGTTTCAATGACCTTAACAGCCAGTCCAGGACACTCTCTGGATTCACACTGGCAAATGCTCTCACTCCAGCCATGCATGCTGTCTTGAAAGTCCTGCTGCTCACAGTTAAGACAGCAGCCAACTGGTCAGTAAAAAGACCCATGTACAGGGACCTGGCTTCAACAATCTCCAAGTTTAGATACTTGGGATTGTCAAACATTTTAACTTAAGAGGCAGATTCCTGTAAGAACCGGGAAGGTTGGCCATGGCACACAGCCTTCATTTTCTAAATGGCATCATGATTTTAAAGTGGCTCAGAGGCCTTCCCAAGAATCTCTTAACTTAGATCCAAAGGGGTAATTATCCAAGTAACTGCCATGTGTGTTGTTGTAAGTGGGTGCATTTTTGCTTTCTTCCACGACTCTATTTCAAGCATAGGAGAACCAACCACATGCACTTTATGTATATCTCAGACCCCAAAATCAGGGAAGCTGTGATCTTGGCCCCACAGACAAGCTCATTTTCATGTGCACTGGTTCTCAGTAGTCAAAGCTAAGTTCTTGGGCTCCTGAACTTTGTAAGATTTTTTTTTTTTTTTTTTTTTCCTTCAGTAAGTTTACTGAACTTCACTGGCAGGCATCCAGGGATGCTTAGTAAAATGAGGGAAGTCCAGGAAGTCCCGGCAGGGGGCGCTCATCTCCAGATGACATAAACAAGGGGGAAGTGTGTTCAATGTGCACAGAGACTCATATCTATAATCCAGCACTCAGGAGCTAAGCCAGGAGAATCACAAGGTTTTCGAGGCCAGCCTGATCGAGAGTGAGATTGTCTCAAAAACAACAAAATAAGAACAAAAGCCAGTGTTCTGGAGAGATTGTGGCCTGTAAGTAGTACAGGAGACTGAGCTCACTGGCCCCATGGCCAGTGCTCCACACAAGGGGCTTCATGAGAAACACATTCTATCCCCTCGATCCCACCTGTGTCCTGCCTTCTAACTTATTTCCCCAATCAAGTATGCACATCCATCATTTCATAAATGACCCCAAATACTAATACATACTGCATGGAACACCAAAGACAGAGACTTGGTGAAAGGAAGGGCCGCCATCAACCAGTGAATTTTAAAAACATCATTCCTACAAAAAGAGAGAAGAAAGAATTAAAAGACTCTACTTCCCCAAAGGCAGCCACGGTGTCAGGTACATTTCTTTGTTTTTTGAAACAGGACCTTTCCACATAGCCCTGGCTGTCCTGGAACTCACTATGTAGACCAGGCTGACCTCGAACTCATAGAGATCTTCCTGCCTCTGGAGTGCTGGGACTAAAGGTATGCGCCACCATGCCCAGTTTCATCAGATATATTTCTAAGCAAGCACCAAGTACAATCTGAGCAAACCATAAACATAAAGCCGTTTTCTTTTCTTTTTACAAACCAGTTTTTGCCCGCAGGAATGGCCTCAGATGAGTCTGTGGTGGTTTGAATGAGAATGGTCCCCATAGACTCACACAGTTGAATCACTGGTCTCCAGTTGATAGAACTGTTTGGGAAGGATTAGGAGGTGTGTGTGGCCTTGTTGGAGGAGGTGTATCACGGGAAATGACAAGTCATTCCTAGTTAGCTCTCTGCTTCTGAATTATGAATCAAAATGTGAGTTCTCAGCTACTGCTCTGGCACTAGACTTACCTGGTGGTCATGATGGTCATGGACTCACCCTTCGAACTGTAAGCCTCAAATAACCTCTCTTCTATAAGCTGCCTTGGTCATGGTATCTTATCACAGTGGCAAAAAGTAACTAAGGCAGAGTCCCACAACATTCCTAATACACAGTTTCATGCAGTGACTGGGAGTGATGCACTGCAGACAGGCAGGATGGATGCTGAGGTATGGATGAGGTTAGGATGGACATCTAACAAAGTCCACCAGTTTTCTCCCTGGAAACCACACTGAGTGAGTCACACAGCAATGAGGGAGGGCAGTCCTAGAGACAGTGTGAAATCCCAGGGAAGACAGGAAAGGAGGTGTAACTGCAGGTATCTGAGCCCACGCAGGTCTGGGACCTAGCCACTGTGACAAGTGAGGAGAAAGTGCTGGCACCAGCCCAGTGGATAAAGGTCCTACCCTGATCGCCCCTCACAAGCTCTAGGCCACCCTTGGGCTCCAGGCATTAGATTCTTCCTCCTGTGTCTACCCCTACTCCTATAGGAAGGAACTTGAGGCTATATGAAGAAAAATAAAACTCTTAAAGTATACACAGACTTGAGTAAGAGCCAAGGACATGAGTACACTCTCACACATCAAGGCACTGACAATCTCATACCGATAAGTGCATGGAATAGGAGCAGTATATTTGCCAGAGAGAGGGGTAAAGCAATGGAACAGACAGGAGAGTGCAGAAGGAAGATCCACAGGTGTAGAAGCTTGATGGAGGAGACAGTGAGTCCAACTTGACAGTGCAGAAGGAAGATCCACAGGTGTAGAAGCTTGATGGAGGAGACAGTGAACTTGACGGGAAAGGATAGACTGGTAAGTGACTGTGGTGGCAAAAAATTAAATGGAAACTACACGTAGACGAAAGTAAGCTGGTCTCACTATCCACTTACCTAGAAGGGTTCTAGAATAGCTCAGCTGTGAATGAAACACACCTTGTGACCTGGAGTCACAAAGGGCCCCTTGGACCCAAGAAGCACTACCCTAAGACAAAATTAGATGGTGGGGCTCCATCACAATCAAAACCTTCATCCAACAATACGCACTGCTGACAAGCTGTGTGACCAAAATGACTGGAGACAAGGCCTGCATGTGGAGCCAGGTGAGGGATCAATCCAGAGCACACAAGAATTTTGTTCATGCAAAATGGGAAAACCCAACAGGAAAATATGCAAACAATACAGGCCTGCAACGATAGTGCCTAGCAAGGACATTCAGACATGGGAAGTTAAGACCCAGAAGTTTACACACACCAGACTGGCACATATCAGGGTCACTTGTGCTAAATGGATGGTGCCAGGGCTCAGGCTCCCCTGGCAAAAGTGAAAATGGTATAGCCACAAGGTGAGCAATCCAACAACAATGAAACTCAACTAGAGTAGGCCACAACCCTGTGGGCCTCTGCTCAGGACTGCTCCTCAGAGGACAAGTCCCTAGGAGATATCAAAAAGTAGGAGAACAGGATACAGCAGCACTGTCTAGGGCAGCAGGAAGATAGTGGCAACCTGGATGTAGACCTGTCTCTAAGAACTACAGGGGTAACACTTGACAAGACAGCTCATAGGACACTGTGGTGTGGCTAAAATCAGCCATCTGGATGCAGAGTCATCAGTGCAGCTGATGGAAAAGGCAGATTTAAACAGCTGCATCTGCAGACAACACTTTCTGTACATTTAAAACATACAGAAAACCCCCCAAAAAAACCCAACCAAACCAAAAAACCAGCATATCACAGACATTACTTACAAGAACATACAAATGTGCCAAACTGTATATTCAGCATATTGGGGTGACTTTCCATAGCTCAGGAAAAGTGGGCAAGGGACAGGAAGTAAGGGGGGATGGTCACTTGGGAGAGGAGCATGCACAGAGCAACAATGAGACCACAACACAAGCTGAGCTAATTTCCTGGGTACTTTCCTGTTCTAGTGACTGCTTACTTGAAGGTCAATAGGAAGTCCAGGCCAGAGCAGTCTGTCACTATTGAATGGCAGTGGGCTTTACCCAGAGTGCAATACTGCCTACTATGAAAGGCCACTCTCACATCCTGGCAAGTTTGACTTGAGTTTCTCAGTTAAGCACCCCCATGCTGAAGCAATGAAAGGCTCTGAAATCATGGCAACTTGATGATGACCTCTGCAATGTCAGAACTCCACCTCAACAAGCCCAGGGTGGCAGCCAACCTATAAGCACTGAAAATCATCAGCTGTCTCTCACTCTGCCAGCACAGCACAGCCCCCTTCTCCCACTGTGGGGTACACAGCATACTAAACCTGAAAGGGGAGGCAGGCACAGCAGGCATCCCTGGCCTCCAGCCCCAGCTCAGTCAGGTAACTGGCTGTCTCTCACTTCCACTCTCTGGGCCTCAGGACATTTATGTGCCAAAGATGTCTCATTCTTTCCAGTTCTATGAGAGTAACAAGTGTCCTAAACACTCCTGGCAGCCTTGGGGGTCATATGACTATGTGAAACACAAACTTCCAACCCCTGGACATTCGCAGGCCATCACATGGGGGTGGCTTAAATTGCATCTTTATGGATGCATACACATCCACACAGACCTAAAAGTGTGACAGGCACAAAATAGGTCAGCCCCACTTAACCACAGATTTTGTTGTTGTTTTTCGAGGCAGGGTATCTTTAACCTCAGATTTAAAACTGTAGCCACCATTTTATCCAAGTGAGCTGAGACAATGGCATCACCATTGCTGAGTAAAGGGAAATGAAACACCTTGTTTGCATAGCACCCTGATGCTAAGCCCTCTTTATCGGGTACACAGACATAGAGCAGAGCTCAGGATGTTAAGAGGCTCTGCAGAAAGCTGGGCGTTGGTGGCGCTCGCCTTTAATCCCAGCATTCGGGAGGCAGAGGCAGGCAATCTCTGTGAGTAAAAAAAAAAAAAAAAAGAGGCTCTGCAGAAAGAATGGCAATTATTACTGCTTCAGTTTTGTAGATAAGAAAAAAGACTCAGGGAAGAGCAGGAGATAGGAAGTCACAAGTGTGTGCTTGGGGCAGAGTCATGTGCATATGTACAGGTCAGAGGACAACTTGCAGGAGTCAGTTTTCTCTTTCTACCACATAGAACCAGGGGGTTGAACTCAAGCCATCATTAGGCTTGGTAGCAAGTGCTTTTAGTCATTTAAGCCAGCATGCAAAATTCTTTTAAAAGGGTCCACATACAAGACTGAGTGTCTGCTAAAAGGCAATCAAGGCACCAGGGGTTTCAGCATCTGCCTCAGTGCTCCAAGGAAGGGGTGTCTGGGGCATCTAATTATGTGAGTTTTGGGTGGCATGGTGTATCAGATTTGCACACCCTAAGTCTATGGGCCTTTTAATGTGAAAATACTTTATACTATTTTGTTCCAAGATTTCTGGGCAGGGAGACATGGAAGTCATACTTATGTAGCCACTCTCCTCAACAACAAAAAAACAGAAAGCCAGAGCCTTAGGGTTTGGGACAAGGGTCCTGGTGAAAGGCAGAAGGACTCTAAAGGGTTTTTTCCCAGGCTCAAGCTCCTGGCAGACACAGAGAAAGTCCAGTGAGGCTTTGAGCTGAAGCTTGCAGAGCTGGAGGCTTTCAGCTTCCACTTGGGCAGTGGCATCCTCACTAACTCCTCTCAAGATGGATGATCCCTGAAAGGCACCACCCTGGTACCACACTCCCTGTGTGAAGCTTCCTGGGCTACAGTGTGTTTGCTTGTGTGTTTATGCTAACAGTTGGATCTGCTCTCTAAACAGAACAATAAGAGTGGCCAGCAGCACAGTAAGCAGAGCCTCCCACTAGCCTCTAGGTCTTGAAGAAGACACCCTGAAGCTGGCAGGGCTGTTCAGTGCCATCTACCCAGGGGCAGAATCCAGCAGGATGAAACACACAGCTCTCCACACACTGAGAGCACTTACCTTCGCTTACGAAGGATATGAATCCAGACGGTCCCAGATAGAAAGAAGAAGGCAGCCATGGAAACATACAACTTGGGGAGAGGGATCTCCCCAGCAGAGAGGTAGCTGTCAGGGTTCTTCTCAGTGATGTCAATCTGTGACCAGTGGAAGATGGCTCCCTCTTAGACAACACACATCCACAGCTGTCTCACTGAAGCTCAAGAGCATACGTGCCCACAGGTAACAAGCAGGTTGCTACTGTCTGGGATGAACACACCCCACCCAGCTCTACACTTCCTTCTGCAGGAGCACCCTGCCCACTTTCTCCAAGTGACATTTCACATGCCCTTGATTGCAAAGGGTGAAAAAAGCCCTGCTTCATCCCTAGCACCAAAACCAAAGCAAAATAAAACAGAAAAGCTCCCACAGAAAGCTCCCACCCTATTCTTACAGAGAAGCAGGTGTCTCACACTGACAGCATCCTTGTGGATGGCCCCATGAGGTACTCACATTCAGGCTGAATGAGACCTTCTCACTAGGCTGCGGCGTGTTGCCTGGGCACTTGTGGAAGTAAAGGCTGTACAGGCCTTCCTGGTCATCAGTGCTGATGTTAAAGAAGAACTGGGAAAGAAGAAGAAAGAGGTGCTCACAGCCTCAGCCACAGCTCCCAGTCTCAGAAATAAGTTAGGGGCCTGAGCACACAGGCTAGCTGGCCTCGGAACCTCCAGAGCAGAGGTTAGAGGGGGTGGTCCTCATCTTGTGAACCTCTAGTACCTTATGCCAGTGTTCAAGCACAGAGATGGCTCCATGGTGATCACCTGTACGCAGTGGCCTGGGTTCTCTAACTCACTTCTACCATAGCCACCTGCCTGGTTCTGCTGAGGTCAGCAGAGGTAGCCAAAGACACAGCATCTCATTTTCAAGTCGACAAACTACATCACTTTCAGAAACATTAACAGTGGGCCACTACTTGTCACAACTTATCAAAAGTCCTATACACACAGGACCAAAGTGTGCCACTGTAGGCTCTTCCAAGTTAAGAAAGGCACAGCTCTCATGAGGAAAGCAGCACCATGTGCCACTACCAGGAGACACCCACATGTACCTCACAACTGGGCTGCCTGGGTAGGGCACTCAAGGGCTTTGGGCCTCTCTGACCTCCAACTACATCACCTTCACTCAGCACAGGTTCTTCCAGGTGCACAGCCGTCAGCTTCTGTCACGCCTGGAGTGAGAGGCAGCATGACTGGTGGATGGGAGAGGCTGAGGGGTCACAAGAGGACCTAAGCAGAGCGGAGCTGGAACCTGGGCCTGTCACTCACACTGCACTGTCACAAGGTTTCTCACTGTCAGAGACTCATGGCTTCCTTAGCAGATGGAGCTAGCCGCCTAGTGGTGGGAGGGGGTGGTCCTGCAGCCAAGGGATCCAAGAGCAAGGTGCCAGTGAAGACTTAACCTCTTACATGGCAGAGATGGAGTAAACTTTACTCCAAGGTGACTCATACCTGAAATGAAACTGCACCATCAATCTTACGAATTGAGAAGGATTTCTCTGCTGTTGCCTAAAAGACACAAGAATCTATTTCAGGCCAAAAGTGGCAGAAAACAAGCTTAGAAAACTCAAAGTTAATTGGAGGGGCTGAAAACACAGCTCAATAGCTAAGAGCACTGGCTATTTTTGCAGAGGTGCTGGACTCAATTCCCAGAACACAGAATCCCACAACTGTTTTGTAATTCCAATTCCAGGGGGTCTGATGCCCTCTTTTGGCATCTAAGGGCACTGCATGCATGTGATACACATACATGCAGGCAAAACACCCAAACACTTAAAATAAAAAATTAAAGCAAAACTGGATGGTGGTGGTGGCATATGCCTTTAATCTCTCTTGGGAGGGGTGAATCTCTGAGTTCCAGGTCATCCTGGTCTACAGAACAAGTTCCAGGAAGGCCAAGGCTACACAGAGAAACCCTATCTCAAAAAAACAAACAAAAGCTAGTTGAGCTGGAGAGATGGTTTAGTTGTTAAGAACACTTGCTGCTCTTACAGAGAATCCAAGTTTAGTTCCCAGTACTCACATGGTGACTTACAAACTTCAACTACAGTTCCAAAGGATCCAACAGCCTCTTCTGGTTAACATAGGCATAAGCACACATATACATACATGCAGGGGAACACTCATTGTACTAGTTAGTTTTACATCAATGTGATATAAGTCTAGAGTCATCTGGAAGGAGGGAAACAACTGAGAAAAATGCCCCCTCAAAATCTGGCTGTTGGTGCTGGAGAGATGGCTCAGAGGTTAAGAGCACTGACAGCTCTATCAAGAGATCCTGAGTTCAATTCCCAGCAACCACATAGTGGCTCACAACCATCCCTTATGAGATCTGGTGCCCTCTTCTGGTGTGCAGATATACATGGAAGCAGAATGTTGTATACATAGTAAATAAATAAAATCTTAAAAAAAAAATCTGGCTGTTAGGTATTTTCTTAATTAGTGATTGATGAGAGAGGGTCCAGACCATTGTGTGTGGTGTCACACCTGGGCTGGTGGTCTTGGGTTCTATAGGAAAGCAAGCTGAGCAAGCCATGGGGAACAAGCCAGTAAGCAGCATCCTCATGGTCTCTGCATCAGCTCCTGCCTCCAGCTTCCAGCCCAGCATGAGTTCTTGTCCTGACTTCCTTCAGTGATGGACTATGGTGTAGAAATGTAAGCCAAATAAAATAAACCCTTTCCTCCCTGGCTTGCTTTTATTCATGGTGTTTCATCATGGCAAAAAAGAGCCCTAACTAGGACACTCATACACATAAAATAAAAATAAATCAAAGCTAGCAAAAAATAAAAAATAAAAAGTTCTTCAACACCAACTTGACTATAGACCTTCGAGAGCTCTCTGACAGAGCCTTTCACTGTCTTTCCAGATAGGTCTAAGATCCTAAGATCCTTTCTCAGAGAAGGCAGTTCCCTTTCCCATTTCCTTCCTTCCTGGCTACTCTCTAACCCCCTCCCCAGTCTTCCTGTGAGTGTCTTTCTACCCTACAGCTTCTGCAGGACTAAGGATGCTGCCCTGGGCAGAGCCAAACATCCCACCTAGACTCTGCTCCTGACTTGAAATATTAGAACACTGTCTTCTGCACAAGCCATGAAAAGAAATGGGCTACATATATACAGGAGCAGGATAAACTCTGATGGTTATGCTGAACAAAGGTAACAGACGAATACATCCTACTTGGCTCATTTCTATAAGGCCCCCTAAAGCTGCTGTCTACTGCAGTGACTGCTCCCCAGGCACAGGATGAAAGGGGGCAGGAGAAACCATTGAAATAATGAACATATCCACAATCTTGATTGACAGGTCAAATGTATCTAACTGCCCCTGTAAATTGTCACCCAATCTTAACTTTGCAAAAATGGTTAGAAGGAAGCAAGCAAGCAAAGCTAGGCCTGATATGTGCATCCGTGATCCTAGCTTGGGAGGCAAAAGCAAAGCAGGAGGATTAGGAGTTCAAGGCCAACCTTGGCTATGTAACAAGGTGAAGCCAGCCTGAGCTACAGGAGACCCTGTCTACAAACAAAAAATACAATCCCCACATTGAGGAATCAGGACATTGCAAAACAAACCCTTTTCTGCTCTCCTACTCACTTCTGTGCAGTAATATCTCTCTCTCTTCTTCCCTTCCACTGTTCCATCTCCCCCGAGACAAAACCTTGTTTACATTCCAAAGCTCTAGTCTAATTCATCTCAATCCTGTTTTATCACAGCAGGTCCTTCCCAGGCCTGGGCATCACTCTGTTGACCCTGCAGTGTTTTCAGAATCATGAGCTCTAATAACTAACCTAATCACAGGCTCCTGACAACCTCCCATGGCCTGTATGCCAGCATCCTGTACCACCTGTGCTCCCCAAGTCTGTCTTAGGGGGCACCCCCACTGCTTGGGCTTCCCCTGTGCTGTGCAATCCAGCACTCCATGTAAGTTTGAAAGGTTTTCAGTGTGTTGATGCTGTCTCTCCAAACACAAGCCATGTGTCATGCACACATAGATACATACATACATACACACACACACACACACACACACACACACACACACACACACGGACACCCAAAGAAGCTGGAAGGAGGTCCATGCTTACCTTTGAATCCACTGCACTTCTTCTAGCCTTCGAACCATCTAGAAGCACAAACATTTAAAAGGTATCACTGTCTAATTCACCTCACATATCATACATCACAGTATCATTTTACAGGGCTCCAGCTAATCTAATATCCCATCACCAAAACAAATCTCAGTGCCTCCACCTCTTCAGGTCCCCAAACATAATTACTGGGCAGAAGAAGTAGCGAAACAAAGTGGAATACTGCAAGTGTCACTGTGTCAATCATTACAGAACCAAGGGAAAGGCTCTGTATAAATTATGTGGACTGCAGAGATGCCACATAAAACAGCTCTCCATGCTTTCTAAGCCAGCATGCTCAGAGGCAGTTTGACAAGCATCTAATTAGTGCAGTTGACTTGGAGAAAACCTCTGTGTGTAGTGCTGAGGATGCTGGGGATGACACTCAGCCTGTGTATGGGAAGCACTCTTCCCTGCGCTGTACCACCAGTCTCGATTTGCAGGTAGATGTCTTGCTGACTTCTCTTTTTCATTACTGTTGGTTTTTGGAGGTCCCCCCCAATAACAGTGGGTTAAGATTACTAGCGGAGAAAAATGACAAATTATATCTTAATTTAAAAAAAGAAGCTGACTAGTAGATGGCTGGGGATATAGCTCAGCTAACAAAGTGCTTGCCTGGTGTGCATGAGGCCCTCGATGCCTAGCACCCTATGAAATGGAGTGTAGTAGTGCACACCTGTAATCATAGTACTCTGGGTACTATGGAAGATGAAGAATAAGTTCAAGGTCATCCTCAGCTACACAGAGAAGTCACGGTTAGACTGTGCTATGAGACAGATCTCAAAATCCAAAACAAACAAAAAAAAACATTGCTAGCAGCTTTTTTCATGGAACTTGCGTCACTATCCTTAGGAGACCCCTCCTGGGGAAGGAAGCTGTGGTAGTTTGAATGTAATTGGCCCCCATAATTGCATAGGAGTGGCACTATTAGGAGGTATGGCTTTGTTAGAGTGTACATGGCCTTGTTGGAGGAAATGTGTCACTGTGGGGGTGGGCTCTGAAGTTTCCTATGCTTAGGATACCACCCAGGACTTCTGTCAGTCAACATCCTGTTGCCGGCAAGCCAAGATGTAGCCAACACAATATCTGCCTACATGCCACCATGTACTCCACCATGATGGTAATGGACTGAACCTCTGAAACTGTCAGTAATCCACCCCAATTACATGTTTCCATTTGTAAAGTTGGCAGGGTCACAGCATCTCCCCACAGCAATAGAAACCCTAAGACAGCAGTGTAGCCCTGCTGCAGGAAAGAAGGCAGTGTTTCATGAGCACAAGGGATTTGGACAAGCAGAGCCAGAGCACAGGAATGGAACTGCACATCTCACTCCAGTTCTTTCCTGTGCTTCCTAATTTGCATCAACCTTCAGCAAATCTAGAGAAAAGTAAGTAGTAAATGGCCTTAAAAGGATGTATATGAACCATTGGATGAGACTAACAGTTAATACAACATATCAACATCCGGAAGGGGGCACTGCCTCAGGAACAGCAGTGTGTATGGCCCAGGGCTCGGGAGGTGGAGGCCAGGAAGCAGGAGCTCAAAGCCTGGTCACACAAATCCCTCTCCCCAAAACACCAGAAAAGGAAAAATAAAATCAAACATGGTCTCTTCTGCCTTTTCATTTTTGCATTTCTCTCCGAACAGGGTCTCCTTTTGCTGCACAGGCTTGCTTTGACTGGGCACAAGTGCTCTTTCTGCCTCTGCTTCCCAAGTACTGGGGCTGTAGACATTCACAGTGCCCAGCACTTCAGAGAAACAAACCAACAAAACAAAAGCACTACCCAGTATCAAAGTGTTAGCAGCCAGCATTTCTGCACTCTGATGGATGCTGGCCATCCACCTGACAGGGAATGGAGTGTCAGTATTCTCAAAGGCTATTTATCCTTTAAGCCAGAGAATCCAGCTTCACTAACCCATCCTAAAAACAGTACTACACACACAATAATTTTCCTTTTTAAAAAGACTTACCTTAAATGTGTGGTGTGGCTTATGCCTTTAATCCCACTACTCAGGAGGCAGAGGCAGGTATAACTCTGTGAGTTCAAGGCCAGCCTGGTCTACAGAGTGAGAGTGAGTTCCAGGACAGCCAGACAGAGCTACACAAAGAAACCCTATTTTGAAAAAAAAAAGACAAAAAACCTTTGTGTGTGTGTGTGTGTGTGTGTGTGTGTGTGTGTCTGTCTGTCTGTCTGTCTGTCTGTCTGTATGTATGTATGTATGTATGTGCCACAAGCATAGGTGCCAGTGGAGCTCAGAAGGGCTTTGGATCCCTTAGGACTGTGATTGCAGGTGTTGTGAACCTCCTGATATGTGTGTTGGGAGGTGAACTCAGGTCCTCTGGAAGGGAAACAAGCTTTCTTAACTGCTGAGCCATCTCTCTAGCCCCCACACCAAGGGGTTTCTAGGAATGAAGAAGTTCAGTGGCCCAATACCTGGAGATAACAATGGGTCGCTTTAAGGAAAAGGCTGAGCAAGTGACAGCATCATTTTCTTGGGCAGTGGGATGAAATGACGTAAACCAATAGGCATGCATAGGCTGTCCATATGATAAGGAGTTGTGGGCACCGTGTTCTAGGCTGAGGAAATAAGCCTACTCAGGGACAACTACCAAAGTGCTAAGTGGGGACAGATGAGAGGCCTCATTCCTCTCTTCCTTCCACATCCTTCTTTGGCTACAGTTAGTTCTGTGTGGCCTATAGAGCATCAGGCTGCAGTTCTTGAAAACACAATCTCTACAAAGCAGGCTTACCTTGGGCTCTCTGCACCTCGCTTTCTGTGGGGATGGAGCTGACAGCAGGCTCCTGGCTCTGACCCAGAACTTTCTCATCCTTGCTGAAGACAATCTTTGGTAACTGGGTGCCAGCTTCTGGTGGAGATCTGACTTTGACTCTATATCCACAGAAGACAGAAAGGAGAGTTCAGAGCAGTGTTCCAGTCTTCACTGAATGCTGTGGCGGGCCCAGCTCAAGCTCTGTTATTTTTTGCATGTGTTTGTTTTCCAGATAGGGTTTCTCTGTGTAGCCCTGGCTGTCCCAGAACTCACTCTGGACCAGGCTGGCCTCGAACTCTCAGAGATCCGTCTGCCTCTGCCTCCTGAGCACTGGGATTAAAGGCTTGTGTTACCTCGCCCAGCTCCAGCTCAAACTCTGAATCTGGCACCTTGTGCTGTCCCTGTCACAGGGGAGACGCAGATTCTGCCAACTACATGCTGTGCTGCAGAAAGAGTAAAGCACTGGCCAAGGGCTGGGGAAACCATGTGAGGACAGAGCAATAGCCTAGCCCAGACCTGGACCCCAGCCCTGACAGCCCAAGCTAGGAAGTAACTGAGCAAGGAGCCTGAAGTGTCACTCTAAAGCCAGGGTTTAACAATACATTAATACATGATTATTCTGTTCAAAACCACAGAGAAACCCTGTCTTGAAAAACCCAATAAATAAATAAATAAATAAATAAATAAATAAATATCTGTGTGAATAGCCCTGGCTGGCTGTCCTGGAACTCTATAGACCAGGCTGGCCTTGAACTCACAGAGATCCACCTGCCTCTGCCTCCCAAGTACTGGGATTAAAGGTGTGCGCCACCACTACCTGGCCCTTAAAGGAATCTTAATGTGTTCAGAAAACTGGTGAAAGGGGAAATAGAATAAGACATAAGGCTCTATAATACAGTCAAGTGAAGTGAAGGGATGTGTGTGAGGAGCTGAGGACACTATCAATTACTGGCCTAAAAGCCATTTCCACCTTTCCCCTTCCTTTTTTTTTTTTTTTTTTTTTAAAGATTAATTATGTGTTTGTGTGCGTATGTGGGTTTATGTGTACTACATGCATGCAGGAGCCTGCAGAAGCCAGAAGAGGGCTTCCAATCCCCTAGAGCTGGAGTTGTAGGGGGTTGTGAGCCACCACTGTGAATGCTGAGAACCACACCCAGGACACTGCCTACAGAGTGAACACCAAGAATGGGAGAGCAGAGATTAAAGGCACAAATCCCTAATGTGAGCAAACTGCCACTGACCTGCCCACCACCTAGGGACTTCAGGTGGGTGGTCAATCTTTGCTCTCATTCCTCCTGCCAGGCTCAGTGAGACCTTTCTCTGCTGGTGCCAAATACCTAGAAGACTGCAGCGTTCCTGACAGATGTTAGCAGAGGTGACCAGGAGAGGCCAGAGTAGCTCTGTGAAAAGTACTTTACTTTTTAAGAAACTTCCTCACTGGTCTTTCTATTTCTGACCTTGTTCATCCATCTCTACATTGCCCACTCTAGGCTGCTATCGGCTAAGTCTGAAAATAATCTGGACACAAGATTCTTAGCTTGGAACCCTTTGAAGGCCAGAGAGCTAGCTCACTGGGAAAAGCACTAGTGGTAAGCCTGAACCTGAGTTCAAACCATGAACCTTCAGGGCAGGAAGAAGAGAAGCAACTCTCACAAGCAGGTACGACAGACGTGCACATGCACTCACACAATACAGAAACGTAAGAAAAAAAAAAAAAAAAAGGAAAAGGGAGAAGTTACATACAAGTTGGAGTGGCTGGGCCATAGAGGTGCTTGACTGGCAGGTGCTTGCCTCAGAATTATGAGGACCCAAATTTGATCCCCAGAAGCCATGTGTAAAACAGTGGGGCATGTGATGTGAGCCCGCAACCCCAGGGTTGGGAAGGTGGCCAGAGGAGAGTGCTGGAGTTCACTGGCCAGCTAGCTTAGGTAAACCAGCATAGATCAAAGCTCAGTGAGAGATGCTAGAACAGCTGGGCATAGTAGTGTACATCTTTCTCTTTCTTTTGGTTTGTTGAGACAAGGTTTCTTCATGTAGTCCTGGCTGTCCTGAAACTCACTCTGTTGACCACGCTGGACCTGAACTCACAAAGATCCACCAGCTTCTGCCTCCTGAGTGCTGGAATTAATGAATTAATTAAAGTTGTTCACCTCTTTAATCCCAGCACTCAGGAGGCAGAGGCAGGAAGGTCTCTGTGAGTTCAAGGCCAGCCTGGTCTATAGAGCAAGTGCCAAGACAGCTAGAGCTGTTACACAGAGAAACCCTGTCTCAAAAAAACAGGAAGGGGGACCACACGTGGCAGACGGACTACAAAATCCCTTAATTCATCCTTCACCTGTGCTCTGCCACTAAACCTGATCTCAAAGACAATCTCACAAAAGATACACCACTACTCTGAGGTAGGAGGACCCTGAGCTCTGGAGTTACACAGCCTGAGTGGCATAAGCTGCTGCCTGGATCCAGTCTATTTTCTTACCTGTTCCCTCTAATGTGTCCCCCAACAGCAAACTTGGGTGCTAAGGCCATGCTGATCGCTCTCTCTTCTGTGGACAAGGACACCCTTCCTGCTCTCATTCATCTGGAAAAGCTGACTCACCAGAGGGCTGCCTGCCTAACCCTGACCTGAAACTGTCCTTCCCTGCGGTGGTGTGTGTGTGTTGGGGGTGGGGGGTTGGCTCTTTTCTCTACTTTGCTGCAGTCATTTGGATTGTGCTTCGTCTGCCGTCCTCCCAGGTGGCCCCGTGTCTCTCAACATGTAACTCACCTCCAGCACTCAGCGCAGGACTGGCACGTGGCAGCTATCGGGCGAGTACTGTTGCAGCCAGTGCCCTCACTGCACTGAGGGCGAGCAGAGAGGACTTCAGAATTACTTACACACTTGCAGAGATGTCTAAGATGAGAAGGGTAACAGAAGATATAGACTGTTTTCTTAGAATACAGTAATTCACATCTTCATCCTGCCAAAGGAAGAACAAGCATGTATCATTGCACTCACTGTGGCAAGAACAAGATAGATAGGAGGCTCAGGCTTCTCCCAACAGGGAAGCTAGAGAGAGGTTCAGTAGCTGCCACCTCCAGCATAGGCGCTGTGGGCTGAAGGGTATCCTGAGCTCTAGTGAGGACACCAGTCAGTCTGTGACCTAAAACTGACCAGGCACCTGCAATTCTAGCACCTAGAAGGCAGAGGCAGGGGCACCAGGAATTCAAAGCCAGCCTCAGTTATATGATGTATTTCAGGCTACTCTAGGATACAAACCATGGTGGCTCATGCCTGTAATCCTAGCGCTTGGGAGACTGAGGCAAGAGAACTGCTCCAAGTTTGAGGCCACCCTGAGCTATAGAATGAATCCCTGTCAATCACTACTGTCCCCTCAGAAAAAAAGGGGGCAGGGCTGGTAAGATGACTCAGTGGTTAAGAGCACTTACTGCTCTTGCAGAAGTCCTGGGTTTGATTCTCAGCACACACATGATCACAACTGTCTGTAACTCAGTTCCAGGGGATCCAATTCTCCTGACCTCTGATGGCACCAGGCAAATATGTGGTACACAGACATGCATGCAGGTAAAATACCCCTATAGATCATTTTTTAAAAAGCAACTTACCAGGTAAGAAGAAAAGCCATCGTTCTTGGTCCGATCTAGACTGAAGCCAATCTGAAGGCAGGGAAGAGAGAAAAGACTAAGTCCCTCACACTGTCCATGACTTTCTTATGCAAAGAGCAGGAAAAGTGAAGCAAAAACACCAGGCCTGGCTTCTCATCTTTCTTAAGTGCTCTCTTGAAAGATGGAAATAGCTACTCAAGTAAAATCACTAATTATACATTTATTCAAGAATTGCAGGGCTGGAGAGATGATGGCTCAGTGGTTAAGAGTGTTGGTTACTATGCTCTTCCAGAGGTCCTAAGTTCAACTCCCAGCAACAACATGATAGCTCACTATAGATGCAGTTCCCTCTTTGGTGTTCAAGTGTACATGCAGACAAAGCACTCACATACGTAAAATCATAAATAACGTTAAAGAAAAAAAAAAAAGAATTGCAGCTTAGGGCTGGGGTGTGGCTCAATGGTAGAGCATTTGCCTACCATGGGAAAGGCTCTGGGTTCCACCCCCAGCATCTCACTGACCACAGGAAGTATAAAGTAAAGCAGATTCCTGGTGTGTACTTTGGTACTACCATGAAGAATTTTCTCCAGTTAGGCAAGGGGGGAAGGGGCTGAGAGAGTAACCCCCATTCTATTGGAAAACACTTGCCTCAGCCTTCGTTTTCACGTCTCCCTTAGGTTCATTCACAGAGAGGCTGCTGACATTGACCACCATGTACCCGTCCTTGAAGAACCCAAAGGTGTTCAGATGGACTTTACGCCTCACGTCATCCTATAGAGATTGAGGTGGATTTCTCATTAGTCAGCCTGTTCATTTGCTTGAAAAGTTATGGTGTCCAGTTTCATGATGGCCAAAGTTCCCATAGGTGTGGAGACAGACAGTGGCTGTCACAGGTAGCCTTCAAAAGCTCTTCAGAAATCCCACAGATGTCAAAGCTTCACAAAAGGCAATGGTGGACTCATTCATTTCAGCACACTAGTATGGGCTCTGGAGGTAAATTGGTCAGGATCAACTTGACATGTGAATTCCACAGCCAGATGAACCACGGTTTAATAACCTGCTCTACCCACCCCCCACCTCCAATTTTCCTGACAGAACAGTGTCGGGCATCTGGCAGGTACTAAAAATGTGACAGAGGTACTCAAGAGGCAGAGGCAGGAGGTTCTCTGTGAATTCAAGGCCAGCCTAGTCTACACAGAGTTCCTGAACTAGCAGGGTTACAGAGTGAGACCCTACTTAAGAGAGTGGTGGCAGGGAGTGTAGGGGCTAGCGCCTGCTGCTCTTCCACAGGACCTGAGTTCCACTCCTAGAAACCACATTCAGGGGACTCACGATTACCTGTAACTCCAGGGATCCTTCACTCTGGCATCTGTGGGCACCTGCATTCATGTGCACATACCCACATGCAGATACACACATCTATAAGTAACTAAGAATGACTAAAAAATGTAAAGCCAGGTGTGGTGGCATACTTGGGAGGCAGAAGCAGCCACATCTCTGAGAACTTGAGGTCAGCCTGGTCTACAGAGTGAGTTCCAGGACAGCTAGAGCTATTACAGAAAACCCTGTCTCAAAAAAAAAAAAAAAAAAAAAATTCTGGAGGTGGGGTGGGACCGGTGAAGTGAGTACAAATGCACTACTGACCTCAGCTCCTCCCAGACTTTTCTAACCCACAACTCAAATTATAAAGGACATTCACCTGGAACCAAATGATACAGAGAATGATGACCTTCAGGACAGACGCTAATGCAGAAGCACCCTCAAGAATGAGTCAAGTGGAGACAAGACTCTACTGGGCATGGGGAAATCCTGGGCTCTGCTGAAACGGTAGCTCACAGGGACATGCCCACCCCTGCCTGCCTCGTGTCCCAATCTCAAGCAGGACCACACATTCTAGGAATGGACCGGGACGGGGTATCAGCAAAGCCCTCTCTCTAACACCAAGTGCCTGGGGTTCTTCACAGCATGAACATTACTGGGAATTATAGGAACTGTAAGTGACAGCTGGCTCTTCACACTTAGAGATAGAATTACCCAGACATCAGCAGCTATTGACGGGACCCTCCCCTACAGCTGAAGTTCCCAGGTTGTCAGGCTGTCAATGGGACCCTCTGAGGCAATCAATATAATTCACATCCACATGACCCAAAAACAATGCACTGGGAACACTGCCACCAGGAGGGTTTTATTTCCTGGCTGACTCTGGCCCCTCCCAGCTGGATCTGATGGTGGGAACATAGGCCCTCAGCAACAGCAATGGTCTAATCCAAGCTCCCTCCAGACTCCTGCAATATCTCAGAATGGCATTGGCTCCCTCCCCCTGACCCCCTTCTATTATCCACTGGTTTCAACTCCCTCTTCCCTTTTTTGGTCCTCTGGGAATTTCCCTTAGTGCCAGAGTTCAGCTAGGCATTTAAAGCATGTTTGCTCACTCTCACTTCCCAGTGAGACAGAGGAGCACGAGGCAAATCCATACTCCCACAAAGAAATAAACGTCTGCAGGGTTGTGAGGCCTGCTAAAGAGAAAACAGGAAGAGTGGAGGCCCCTGGCCCTTCTGGGGTGGAATTAAGTCAGTCAGAAAGTGACCCAAGTGACGATCTTCCCTGTTCTTCAGAGGACACGCATGCCCAATACCATTGCAGGTGCATAAGGGAGAAGGATTTGATAATATTCGGCAGTGAGGACATTCAGTCCTCCAAGAGCCCCCAGAATCTCCTCACACCATCTCAGGGAGAAGCAAGCCCACTCACAGAACACACAGGACAAGGATTGGGAGGGGGACTTTCGGGGTGACTGTCCCCCAGAGAAAGGGACTTTACTTCCCAGCTGCTTGAGGGAAGGCAAAGCTTCAAACCCATTCTTAAGGCGCTAGTTAATCATTCCTGCTGACACCGCATGCATATCATGGGAATAATTATGCTGTACATTTATATAACTTTCAGCCTGTAGGGAAATGTTACATTTTTCTTATATTTTGTTTATTTACCAGTGTGTATATGTACATGTCACAGTACAAAGAGGACAACTTGTAGGAGTCCAATCTCTCCTTCCAATGTATGAGGCCCAGAGACTGAACTCAGGTCATCAGGCTTGGTGGCAAATGGCTTTACCTGCTGAGATATTCCACTGGCTCCAAATTAAGAATTTAAGGGTATGTTTCTTTAGCTATCCTGTAGGAAGTTTACAGCAGACTTAGTGGCACACACCGTTAATCCCCAGCACGTGGGAGGCAGAGGCAAGTGTATCTCTGTGAGTTCAAGGCCAGCCTGGTCTAAATAGTGAGTTCCAGAACAGCCAGTGCTACACAGAGAGACCCTGTCTCAAATAAATAAAGGTTTACAGAGGCTCCATAAGGACTGCCCCATATGTACTTTTCAGGCACCTGGAACTGACATGGTGGTACACACCTGTAACCCCAACACTTGGGAGGCAGAAGGAGGAGGATCAGGAGTTCAAGGGGATGAGAGGCCAGGTGGGAGCTCAGCATTCCCACCTTTCCTCCCTGACACTATCCCAGAAGGGCAGCAGAGCCCCAAGAGCTCAACAGTAAAGGAAAAAGAGGCAGGAACATAGAGGGTCTGCAGGAGCACCCCAGCTAACCCTGATAGATACAGCAAAAGAGAAGAGCCTTCAGCACCTCCTTTGCACAGGAACCAGCAGGGCTCTGAAGAGCTCTCTGAAACACCATGCTGCCTCTCTACAAGGCAGGCGCTATTGTGCTCAGACTAATGATGAAGAAGCAGGCCCAGACTAGTAAAGCTTGCTTAGATCACAGCAGGAGCAGAACCGGCATCCCAGCCCAGGTGTTCAGGAGCTGCATGCCTGGGCTCTTACTCATTGCATACCTTTCACAAGCAAAGAAACAGTGAATCTTATTTTGCTTTGAACTAGCCTGCATTACACAGGTGTTGAAAGTGCCAGGTTTGTCCAGCATATACACACATAGCCCAGCCAATTAGAGGAAGAAATCCCAGACAACCTACAACTTCACCTACAGGTATCTGAGTGTGTATCTCCAATGTGGGCTTTAAGAAAAGACAGAAGTGTGGTGTACTCTTAGTCACAAGAAGCTGAATAACAGGTTAATTCAATAAGATCATTCAGTTGTAAAAAGTTTAGGTCACCGGGACATAAAACACTATACTGGACTGAGGATGCAGCTCAGAGAGACAGTGCTGTCTGGAGGGTGTGAGTAAGACTCTAGGCTGGACACTAAGCACTTCCCGAAAGTAAATTCCCAGATACCCAAACAAGGTCAGCGTTAAAAGTGTGTGGGTCTTGCCTGGCTCTCCTCACAGGCACTCTGCCAACAACACAAACAATGGGCAAGCCCTAGTTTGAAGGTGAAACACTACTGATTAAAGTACCTTTTGTTTGTTTGTTTTTGTTTGTTTCCTTGAAACAGGGTCTCCCTGAGAGGCCCAGACAGACCCTGAACTGGAAATCCTCTCTTCACTCTCTTGAAGCCACTGCTGGGGCTGCCAGTGTTGGCCAACACACCAAGCCTAGATATAATCATCAGAGAAAATTGCAGCCCCTGATTATTCTGGATTATGTGAAGTTATTCTGAAATGCTTGCTCATATTTTCAATAACCTATTTTGTTAACCTGAAACTTTATTTTTAAAGCTAGGTGTAGTGGAGGGTGCCTTTAATCCCAGCATTGGTGAGGCAGAGACAGATGAATCTCTTGAGTTTGAGGCCAGCCTTGTCTATATAGTGAGTTTTAGGCCAGCCAAGACTACACAGAGAACTTGCTACAAATAAATAAATGTGAACCTATAAGACTGCTCGGTAAGAGCACTTGCTGCCTGCCTGCTAAGCCTGACAACCCACATGGTGAAAGGAGAGACCCTATTCCCACAAGTGGCCCTCCAAAGCCTACATGCTCATGATACACACTTGCCCCGCTCCCCCACTAAACAAACAAAAAACAAATAATTAAAGCCAGATGTGGGTGTGGTAACCCCAGCACTAGAGAGGCTAAGGCAAAAGGACCACAGGCTGAAGGCCAGCCTGAGCTACACAGACCTTATCTCGTTTGGTTTTTGTTTTTTAATTTTTTAATTCCAGCACTAGGGGGAGCAAAGGCAGATAGATCTCTGTGAGTTCAAGGCCACCCTAGTCAACTTTGTGAATTCCATGTTAAATAGAGCTACATTGTAAGATCTTGTCTCAAAAAAAAAATTTAATGTAGGTTGTATTAGAAGAGACAGACAGACAGATGTGGATTTCTACTAAAATAAGTTGCTCTAGAAGTTCAGGTTTGGGGCTGGAGAGATGGCTCCAAGGTTGAGAGCACTGACTGCTCTTCCAGAGGTCCTGAGTTCAATTCCCAGCAACCACATGGTGGCTCACAGTCATCTGTTGTGAGATCTGGTGCCCTCTTCTAGTGTACAGATATACATGGAAGCAGAATGTTGTATACGTAATAAATAAATAAAATATTAAAAAAAAAGTTCAGGTTTACAGAAAAATAAAATAAACCTGAAAGTAAAAAACAACAGAAAACATGCTGACATCCTGAACCTCACCAGTAGTTGATTTAAATGAGATGTCACCTTTTTACTAGCAGGCTGACAGCCGTTTGAGCACGGGCTGTGCTGGGAAGTACGCAGGCCACAGAACACTCAGTCCACTGCAGGCTGACTCAGTTAAAGGAGTGACACGTTCCACAGGTCACAGCGGCACATGCCTGCATTCCAGTTGTTTAGGATCACAGAGAGGGAGGGGAAAGAGCATTATTGACAAAATAAGTCCTTTGTATCTTT